TGCGCCCTCGCTGTGACGCCGTGCGAATTTGAAAAGTGCCCGCCGAACCCTCTGCAGGGATCCTGCGTGCCCAAGCGCTCTCGCTGTGGCGCCGTGCGAATTCGTGACGTGCCCAACGAACCCTCTGCGAGGATTGCGCGTGTCAAAGCGCCCTCGCTGTGACGCCGTGCGAAGTTGAGAAGTGCCCAACGAACCCTCTGCAGGGTGCCCAAGCGCTCTCGCTGTGGCGCCGTGCGAATTTGTAACGTGCCCAACAAACTTTCTACGCAAACACAGCATTGGCATCGTAACCGAACGAAGCGCTCTTCCCCATTGCGGGCCCTTTCTGTGTGTGCTGAAGGATGTCTGCTGAAGGATGTGTGCGTGTCTTTTGTAAGCAAATGCACTAGGCCTCACATTGGCAACTCCGGGACATTGCACGGGTATCGATGGGGTATCGACAGGGGTATCGTTCTGGGCGTGTGTCAAGTTGCGGAAAACTTTCACATAGGCTATTAGAGCCAAGCAAGCACACAATAGCCTTCTCTGCCTTGCGGTAGTCATGTGAGCCGCTCACGCCGCTCAACGCTCCACATTGCTTGCAAGCAGAATGACACTTGAGACGTGAATGAATGCATCATGTTCACAAACCATGTTCAGAGGGGTATCGTTTTTAGTGAGCCCCCTATCGTTCTCCAAGGAAAATGCAAAAAAACAGTCTTGAATGAAACGCCGTTGACAAAGTGGTCTTTGATAATTCTGAAGTTGACTCATATACCAATTCAGATCTATAAGGGAAGGCAATGAGAAAGTCCTGGCCCATGATGTAGTCACTAGGCTTCAATGACTACAATTCCCTACAAGTATGGCTTCGAACAAGTATGAGACAAACAAATCGCTGGGCGATTCGAAGACCATCTGATCTGATGCCAGTATGGTGGATAACCAGCCACTAACCCCCCCCATTGCATGGAATCGCTGGGCTGGGGAAAATGGAATTGACCGAAGCGCAAACCCCAAACCAATCTTAAACCAAGGCTGGTTGGTCGCCGCCGTGAAGAGGTACCTGCCTGCCAAGACAGACTTAGTCCCCCTGGAGAAAAAATGAACAAAAAACGACCTGTTGGGACTTGAAAGCGCAAATCAATTGAACACCAAAGCAGCAACCGGGGAAAGCAACGGGTGCGTCGAGTGTGATGCAAAGCAACGCCCAAAGCCACCAGCTGGCGGCTTGGCGACTCGGACCTGGTTGATGGAGGGCGCCGTGAACTGGTCCCTGACGGCGCTGCACCAAGCGGTACCCGGCCTGGCGGATCGAAATTCGGAGATGGAGGGGTCGAAGAACAGATTTTGTTTCTTATGTGTGTGTCTGTTGTTTGTCTCTTTCTGAAAAACAGAAACAAACAAAATACAAAGTAAAAAGAAGAACAACACTATGATACAATGTCTTTGTGTGGCATCCCTAGGATCCCCAGTAACGAAATGCATTTGCGCCGCAAAATTGCAACCATGGTTGAAACCATTGTTTGTTGGTAGTTGCCAGGGAATCGAATCACTCCAGAGTTTCTCAGGTGGTGCCTTCCACAGTATGAGGCCAAAATGACCCTGAAAGACCTCAAATAGGGTCAAAGGGCTTGAATTTGGGGACACCCCAAATGGTGTGTGAAACACCAGGGAGACCTCTCAATGGTTTGCTTCAAATTGGTTTCGCTATCACCGAGGTGAATGTCCCTCAATTTGACGGAGCTCACATGGTCAAACACTGCCTTTGTGGTTGAGAGGTTTTGGGAAAAGCCGCAAGGCAACCCGCCGTTTGCGCTTGGATCAAAGTGCGTTTGGTTTGGCGTCTACCGTTCATGGAAATGACGGTGGATACCGACTGTGGCAAATGAATCAATGTGCTAATTCGCAAAGCTTGGGCCCGAACAAAGCTTCTTGAGGTTTGCCGGTGAAAAACGCTGCAACCAGGTTCGCTCTCTCCCCTTTCGGAGATGACAAACTTGTCCAGCCTTCAGCGCGAAGGCTAGTCATAAGTCATAAGCCCAACCTTCACCCCAGTTGCTCGGTGACCCTGGAGGGAAACACGGAATCTGTTTTGGCATTTTTGGGGTTCACCACGTTGGTGAGAACCCATCAAGCCAAAGGCATTTGAAGGGTGCCGGTGCCCTGTTGAACCGCTTCCCCAAGAACCGGCCGCTCCAAATGGCCGGAAAGGCTCGTCCAGCTGCAGCGTGACGGTCGCCCTAAGGAACCGAATTGTGTTTTTTGTTCGCCCGGAGTGCCCATGTCCAAAACCCAACTGGCCAAAGGTGGGTCAAAAGATCTGGGCCGATTTACCATGCTAAGACGAAACAGGCACTTCATGGAGCTCGTTCTACCCCGGCCATCAGTAGGCTCGTTGTCCAGAATGCGGGTCCCATGACTTGGCGATGTCTTCTGAAACAGGACCCGAACGGTCCATTGCAACAAACACCTCGACCAATGTGAAGACAGCATGGGGGGCCGTTCACGACCCTGAAACAAGAAGAAATCATCGAGCCCAAGGCCACGAAGGTCCCTCGCAAGGTCGACACAAGTTAGGCCCCAAAGAATGGGAGCTGGTTCGAAGCACCTGGCTGCAACACCCTTGCTGCAAAAGCAGCGAGCTCCTTGAAGTGGAATCCGAAACTCATAGGGACTGCAATGTGGCCAGTTGCATCAGCCACTGCACTGCCCCGAAATATTGCCGACATTAGGCAACCCTTGAAGCCCTTGGATGGTGCAGGACAAACACACCAAACGGAGTACAACTGGGGAAACTTGCCAGCCGTATTGGGACCACAATGACCTTGCACTGGGGAGAGGTTCTAACAGACCTCAAAGCAGCTTGCTGTTTGGTCCCATCCTTTGGTGGACCGGGAGATGTTCTAACCTCGTTTCGGGAATTGATCTGGTGTCTCTTCGTGAAGAATTGATCTGACACCTCGGGTTTCCAGCCATGGGAAAGGGCGCCACGTTTTGAGATGATTCTCCAGAGAAACCCGAAAGAGAACAAAGAGCACCAATGTAATCCCCATTTTGGGCCTTTGAAGATGGGCTCCGCTTAAGGCCAAGAAACGTGGACTCGCTGTAGGAAGCGATGGAGACCACCGTGATGATGGGCGGCGTGAGGTCCAGTGTGAAGCGCCCTGCCGTTTGGATGATCGCTCCATCCATGTCGTGGCTCAAGAATGAAGGACCCCAGCAAAGGGTTTATGTTTGAGTTTCTCCATCCAAAAGGACCAAACAGTTTGTGCCTCAAAACTATAAGGCCAATAGAATGCTCAGTTTTCTCCATCTTTAAAAGGGGTGACTTTTGTTTTCAGAAGCGCAGGGCAAATTGGGGGGTGGGTGGTAGTTTGTTCCGTCTCCCTTTAAAAAAACGCAACCCCAAACTAGGTTGCATCCCTAGACGATGTGTTGCAGTCTTCCGGTTTGCATGTTGCTGCGCGTAGTATACATGGGGTAAGAAGCAAGGGCTCCCCCCCCAAGTGGCCAGGCTAGGTTCTGAGAAGCTGCTTTAAACGGGTTATGAAAAGAACTCAGAAAACATGTTCTTTAAGTTCCCTATATTGCAATTAAAAGGCCTTGTATGAACCATGGTTTCTTTTGTTCTTACCGGGAACCGTCAATTACATTCTAGCATTAGGATAGCACTGAGCAGGACTGAATCATGTCCATGTGCCGCAAGCACAAGGAAAGCCTAAGTCTGAATGAGGCCCAAGCCTTGCAAGGCTGAGGGGTGAGGGTCGATCGATTCAACTTGCAGTGGTCAACATCACACATGCCTAGCGATCAATCGCAAGTGACAGCGACCGAAAGGCTATGGACCATTTGTTGCGGTTGAACCTTGGAAAATGGCCTTGTGCGTGCTGCAACTCTAATCAGCTTGCAAACTCTAGGCATCGGATCTATGACATATACCTTGACTAAATCCAAGTCCTACTTGCCTACGTCAAACGAGTTTAAGGCATTGGCAAAAAAAAAAAAAAAACGCCCTGTCTCACCGCGTTCTCATTGGGTCACAACCCAGTATCTTTTGTTTTGTTCCAGTTCAAGGATCCAAAGCATCAACATGAAAGGTGCTCCAAGATCAGAGGGGCCAAGCCAAGTGCCTGATCCTCGAGGCTCCGTGCCTGATGACTCCACCAGCACAGGCGTGGCTTCGTTGTTCCTCATATCAGGACCCCATGTCTTCAGAAAAAAAAGCTGGAGGGCCCCGGCCCTGGCAAAAAAAAAAAAAACGGGTCCCTCCATACAGCGTATCTCCTTTGTGCCCACAAAACATGTATCAATGGTATGCGGAAGGGTACATTGATTGGGGCTAGCTTTGTAACTGGCAAAATGACGGGGCCAGTAATTGACAACTCTGGACCTAAATCTTTCATGTGTTTTTCGAAAAGCTGGTTGCGCTGGCCAACGCAGCAATTGGACTGGTCCATTCGAAAGTGAGTGCTCCCAAGTTAACGCGCGACATTTAGGTCCCCAAATGTCCCTCCCAAACGAGCCATGCGCTGGATACACGAAACCTATGCCAACTTTGGAGCATCGGAGAGTAGGCTCCACTCTAAAACATCTTCATTTCAATTGGTCCTCAAAGAGTTATTCAACTGTTCACCTAGGCTTTACTTTACTGAGCTGTCCTCAGATCCCCCTCTAAAAGTTGAATTTTTAGTGCCACAGGGTGTCCAACTTATTCTCTACCAATTCCCGTGGAGTTGGTTTACTTGGAATATGGCAGGGGCATGCAATGTACTATTTGGTACTAATAGTCACCACCTTTCCCCTAGATGGTGGTTTGGTTTGGCGGTTTGGAGGCCAAATGGCTCAATGGAAAACCCCACCAAAGACTAACAAACTAAAAAGCTAAGGGGATGTCTGGGAGCCAAGTTTTGGTTCATGAAGCTGGGGGTTAGTGTACTTTGCCCATCAGGCGTTCAGCTGAAGCCGACCTTTTGGCCCGCTGAGGATGCCAATCCGCCTTACGGCCAAAACACTCCTCTTTAAACCGGGGCCTGAGTTGTCTTGGCAAATCTGGACACCTCCTCCTGCATCTGGCGGATGTCTGCGCCACAGGGGTGCTTGCCCCAAACCACCATGTCCCCATTCTCCAGAATGGCCAGAAAAGCGCCGGCAGCAGCTGCAGCTGTGATCTCCACGGCGCTGAGTTCACATCTGGCGCCGCCACAGTCGGCACGGCCCCAAGTCACCACATGGCCGCCGTCCAGTAGAGCTGCAAAAGCGCCCCAGGTGGATACGAGCTGCCGAACATGTGCCAGCTGCACATGGCTGCTGTCGCCCCCAAGGTGCGCATCACCCCAAGTCACCACTGAAGCATCTGCCAGGATGGCGGCAAATGCTTTGTCCGTCGCTTGGATCTGCTGGACGAGCCGCAACTGATCTTGCACCAACTCACTGTCGCCCCCGTTTTGCGGATGCCCCCATGTCACCACCGTGCCATTCTCCCGGATGGCGGCAAAGGCCGTGCGGGTTGCGTGGATTGCGCAGACCTGTGTCAGCTGCTGCCGAACTTGGCTGCTGTCACCCCCAGACTCTGATTTTCCCCAAGTCACCACAGTGCCGTCATGCAGAATGGCGGCAAACGCCGTTTGCGTGGCTGAAATTTGTCGCACCTGGCAGAGCTGCGCTTGCACCTCCCAACTGTCACCACCATATCCTGGATCCCCCCAAGTCACAACTGAGCCATCGCTCCGGAGAGCAGCGAAGGCACAGTATGTTGCTTGGATCTGACACACATTGACCAGCTGCTCTTGCAAATGCCGACTACTACCGCCGTAATAGGGATCTCCCCAAGTCACCACACTGGCATCCAAAAGGATGGCAGCAAAAGCCGAGGAGGTTGCTTGGATCTGCCGGACTTGTGTGAGCTGTTCAAGCACCTGCCTGCTATCACCGCCAGCTTCTGGACTGCCCCAAGTCACCACCGAGTCATCATCCAGGATGGCGGCAAACGCCTGAGTGCTCGCCTGAACTGGTCAAATGCACGGGTTTTTTTTTTTCAATCCCAAGTGGTGGGACTACAAGAGAAACTACTACCTTCTGGCATGAGGATCTCGTCGGTTGATTTTGAACAATCCAGCCTGAATCCGTTGCACTCGTCTCAGCTGCTCTTGCACCGGTCGGCTGTCTGCTCCATACCTCAGGCTTTGGATCAGCGTCCCTGGCCTTTGATTCGGAAGTTGGAACTCTAGAATTTGGCCCCTTGTCCAGTTCCATGATTCTTGAAGCAATGGTACATGGTACGTACAACCCGCCTGGTTTTTATGACTTCGATTGGACGAAACCAGGAAACCTGCCATGTTTAGTTTCTTTCGGGAAATGGTAGAAGTGGAACGCATCTATTTCTACTCAACGAAAACTAAAAAGGACACCTATAGGTACAACCCCCCTCGCGAGTGGGAAAAACCCTCCGCCCGCCCAAATCGGGCCTGGGATCGCCCCAGGTCACCACACCCGTGCCCTTCACATAAAGCGCGCAGGCGAGTCCCGTGGTCGCCAGCTCTACGCGCTGAGCGATGGCATCCACGGTGTCCCCATCTCCCACGCCCACCTACAGCGGAAGCTCTCAGGTTGCTGGGTGGGGTCGGGTGGGTGGGGTAGGGTGGGGATATAGTGTCTTTGTGTGTGGTTGTGTGTGGTTGTGCGTGTTGGTACGGTTTCAAACTGGAACCACAGCAAAACGCCGCCATTCTTGGGGTTCCACGGTTCCTGGTCCACTTTCAAGGGAACTCAGCCCAACTCTGGTGCCTTCCCACCAAAGAAATGGCCCTTTCGGAGGCAAATGTCCAAACCAGGAGACCCCGGTGAGGTTCGATGTTGCGTGCCCGACCCCAGGACACATGACACTCAACCTATTCTGAGTGTCATAATATGTAGTCAACCAGAAAATGCATGTGTTTGTTTAAACAAAAGAACATAAATTCATATCGGAGAAGACCCAGTTGGTGGAGGGAGGCCATGTTGTGGACAATGGGCCCCCGTTCTGAGCTCGAGATACCAAAGTGCTTGATCCCCGTCCCTATCACTTTAACGGGACTTTCCTTGGTACAGCGTAAACCACGCTGCATGCCCCAAAAAGCCCGAGCAGAAGCAATGTCCACATCTTCAGATTGGCAAATCATGCAGTTTTGGGCAAATCCTGGGACCTATACAAAATTGCGGTTCGGGGTTGGTTCCCCCAAATCCAACTCCCAGGAATGGAGTGGGATATCCACCCCACCTGGGCGAGCGTCTTCGCCAGCTCCAGCGCTTCCCCCCGGAAGGCGAGCTGCAGGAAGCGGCGCCCCAAGGCCGCCTCCGCTAGGTCCCGGAGCTCGCTGACCTGCGCCTCCGGAGCGCCGAAATGAGTTGGTCCACGTGAACGGCAAACCAAAAGGAATGTGTTGAAACAAAACGATCACTGTTGCTGATTGTTGGGGTCACGTGGATAGAAAAAAAACAGCATCTGGCGATCCAGGGACCTGGGAGTTTTGTTTACGTTGGTTGGAAGCAAGGGGGGCGAAGCCCACCCCTACCTGATTCAGTGCGCCCTCGATCCCTTTTCGGGTCCCTTTTGAAGTGGCAGTGACTCTTTGTGGCCACCCGGCCTCTGGCGCCAGACTCAGTGAAGCGTTGCGCCCGCTGGGCAAAGCAACCTCCACCTTCATGGCACCGCCACTTTCATGGCGCCGGTGAACCTCTGCCAAGCCGTTTTGGTTTGCTCAGCCAAAAGGGCCCAGAAGTAAAAGCTCAACTTTTTGGGGCCACTACACATGCAAACCCATGATGCCATGGGAAACCAAACAAGTTAGGGCCTTGGTGTCTGAAGCAAATCGGAGCCAGCAGGAACCTCTGGCCGGACTTTGCAAAGCTGTGTGCCAAGGTGATGGAGATATTGGTGGGACCCCGCGAAGGTCTTGCTCGACGTATCGCAACCAAGAAACCAGCAAGATCATGCAATTTACGAGGGCCCATCGTTGGTTTACGTACACTTGTTTGGAACATCAACCCTGAAAACCATGACCGGACCCCGTTTTGCTGTTCCAGTGATGAAAGGTTGCGGGTGGCCGGGCCCTCTCTTGAGCCAAAGCCGCAGCCGCAACAACTCAGGCAACTCAGGCACCGGAGATCCTTTGCGGGGATCTAGCTCGCTTGCGGTTTTGAATTGAATCTCAATTGCATCCTTTGGTGGATATCAGAGATACACAAAGAGCCTTTGGAATGTTTGAAGGTGTTCCACATCAATACTCACAGCGCCTGGTATTTACCCTGAAGGCTTGAAATGAACGTGCAATTGTTGACATTCGAAGGGGTCTCTCACAATTTGACGCATCCCCACATTTAATTTCAGGCAGTTGAGTGGATGTGACACATGGCGCCAATCCCGGAACTCGTGTCAAATGGCCATAGCCATGAATTCAAAAAGTACGATTCTGGTGTACCGGTTTTGCAAGACAAAGGCCTAGAAGGATTCATGCCTATCTTCCAATCAGCCCATACCGGCTGTGCCCATGATACGTCCTAATTACCATCCCTTACAAGACCCCGGCAGCGGTCGGTACAAAAAGTCACTTCCGCCGCCGGCGCCTCCAAAAAAGACTCAGTTGCCATTGCTTTGGTACCGCTGAACAAAAAACATCAGATGGCTGTGGGTCAAAATTGGGCAACCCTAACATGGGTTTCCCTGTTTTTTTGTTTAATGCGACCCTGATTTCAGGTGGTTGAATTTTGACTCATATCCAAATACCCTCTAAGGGAACATTATCAAAATCAGAGGGTCTCCTTCAGCCGTTTCTTTTTTCAGGAAGAGGACATCATAGTGGGCTTGGCAAATGATGCCAAACCCACCAGACCATGGACCCTCCTGAAAGGGTGACCAATAGGCGTTTGTTTCTTCAAGAGAAGGCCAAGAGGCATTCAAATCTACTTCAGTTTACCCTTGGGCAGTTCAACCGTTGTTGAGGTTGAATAACATGAGGAGCGAAGTAACTGACATGATTGCCCTAAGACATATCCTGCAAAGCCCTTCGATTCGTTCTTGCCCGACGGATCGGTCGAGCCGTCTGAATATGCAGGAGGGTTCCCATTCCATGCCTGCTGGTGGCTGGGGGTGATTTATACAAGAGTATTCATGGCACCCTTATAATATGGTAATCCTTATAACCTACGCAACCCAAACATTGCTCTAAGACTAACTTTAGTCCAGATTGTAGACATACACTGAGTAGCTATTTATGCCCTTGCAACATGAAGGGAAACATCTGCACATTGGTTCGCAAGATTCCACAAAGCAGGGCAAAGGAAGGTCATGGCAAACGCTGTAATGAGATAGTTATACCGACATGTCACTTGGAGGGATTGCCAAGGCTGTGGCGCGTCCTGCTCTCAAGAACCAAATTGCCATTATTGCTCTGAGGCGGATCTGGATGACCAGGGCTAAGGCCAGTTGGGCAATCCAGATGGCACAAGCTCCCCCCCTTTTGTTGGTTCAGTCATCCCCTTTGGCCAGGGCTGTGGGACATGTCGACTGTGATGCAACGAAAAATCGGCTTCCCGAAGACGTTCGGAGATTCCCAAACGTATCACGGCAATGGTTGGATAAACTCCGAGTGATCCCAGGATTCCCACACCCCAAGTGGTTGGATCAACCCCTTGACACCCCTGCCCTTGGTTCACAAAACTGGGCTGTCCTCAGATCCCTCGCTAAAAGTTTAACTTCTTGTGGGCCAAATGGAAATCCAACCACTAAACACTAAAATGCCAAAGAAATAAGGAACCGGATGGCTGGGGGCCACCACGGCCACCAAGAAAAAAGGCATCCCAAAAATCCCGCACCCCAGGTGGTTGGATAAACTGTTTGATATCAAAAAGGCACATTGACTTCCAGGAATCCACCCCTTGACCCCCTTGAAACCCTTGCCCTTGGCTCACCAAAAAACGGATCTCTGTCCCGCAACTCGATTTCTTCGAGTCCGAGGCGCTGGGTGGGCGCCGGGTCGATGGTGGTGGCCCCCTCCACCAGCTCGTCGTCCTCCGCGGCGCAGTAGACGTAGTACCTCCGGGATTATCACCACTGGCTGGTGCGAGAAGGGAAGTAGAAATGGAATGACCCACCGAAAACACCATCCAACTGGTGGTTTCCTTTCGAGGCAATCCTGGGTTCAGTCCCACATTCCCTTCTAAGCACCAGCAAGTCAAAGGATTTTGGTCCAATTCCTATGGCATCGGCTTCCCTTTGCTTCCCTTTCTCAGTATGATCTCTGTAGGGGTAAATCATGTGCAGAACAAGCCATGGGCGACATTCAAAGAAATAAAGATGCTGTACGCATGACTCTTTGGTGCAAGTGGTCGGACCCCCTATGTAAAAAGACACAAACAACAAAAACAATCTGTCTTAGGGTCCCCTGAATATGTTTACCTCTAAGGCAAGAGATTCCCCGGACCTGGATTTGTTCGGCTCACGACAAAAACAAACACGTCAGGAAACCCAAGAAACCGAAAATGGGCTTGAGCTAAATGCTTAGCTCATTATGGCTTCTTCAATACACGGACAAATGCCTCCCATGTTTCACCAGAAATTGATGGCATTCAGTAAGCACCCCTCCACCTTCTTCTGGCAGTTTGGCAACACCCAATGTTGTTGGCTTCACCACATGTGAGTATGCACCGTTGTTCATGTATGAGATGGACTGGGAGTTGGAAGGTTCAATATTAAGAGTAAATGACATGAGTTTGCCAACCCCAAGCATGGGTAAGGTCACAAACCCGAAGCCTTGCGATCAACCGTGACTAAATGATGTATATCGGGAGTACAATGTTTAAACATTTCATATCGTCGTCCCTGAATGCCCCTGTGGAAGGCTTGCACACCGCATCTGATAGTCTGCGGTGGGGCACTTCGTCTCCATGGTCAGCCCTGACACGGTGATGTCGAAGTTCTTGTAGATGTTGTTCCTGAGTGGGTGATACGGTTGAAGCCAGCAGTCATGCAAACGTCCAGGTGTTTGCACCATGCATGGCCACATGCTTGCGATCAACAAATAGCCCTGTGCCACGATATTGCCAGCCAAGCAGCCAGTTGGTGATGGTGTTCTTGTAGAGCGGCTGAGCGAGCAACAGCATGTGAGGTATAGACACGAAGCATTGAAAGGGATGTAACAATATAAACCAAACCCTGGACATGGTTCCGCTTCTACTCGATATAAAGCTTACCCACAAACCCTCCAAATGCTCCAAATGGTCCATGTACGTTTATTTCTACACACCTGGTCCGAGGTCTTCTGATGGCACCAGTTCCTCCAGCCTTCTGCCCGGCTTCCGCTCCGAGGCCCCCGCTGCGGTGGTGAGAGCGGTGTAGAGGGCTGCATCCACCGTCTGCACTGAGGTGTACGCTTTGCAGTACCTCGGCGGCTGACGACTTTTCTCGGACACGCAGCGACATGGCGTCCATTTGCCTTTTTCGCCCCCTGGAGCAAAAAAATGGCCAGATACTCCCAGTAATGACGCATATTCTGAAGCAACTGGAAGATATGGATTGAGAACTCATGAAATCACTGGTACTTGCGTGAGTGAGACTGTCAATGATGATTATTGCCGGACACAAAGCAGAAGCAATAAGCTTTGCACAAGCAAGCGTCATCAAACGAACGCACGAAGACCTGAGACCTGACTCATTCAGGGGGCCATCTGACCCCAAGGGCCAAAGTACTCAACCACGGGGTGGGCAAGAGGTCAACAAGAAAGCAACGGGGGCCAAGAAGAGTGCAACAAAGGGGTCAACAAGAGTTCAGCAAGAGTCCAACAAAGGGGCAACAGGGGGTCAACCAGAGTTCAAGACGCGGACAAAGAGGTCAACGAAGGGGGCAAGGGCCAATGAGAAATTACAAGAGTTCTATGAGGCGGCAGGGGAAAACAAGAAAGCAAACGAGTTCAACAAGGGGGGGAGGGGAAAACAAGAAATCAAACTAAAGTTCAGAGGTGAAAAAGAGGCCAACTAATGGACAACAACCAGCTTCTCTTATTTGTTGAGTACCACAGAACCCTTTCGGGAGAAGGCAGCACCTTAAGCCCTCCTAACTTATGGCGCACGCGGTGCCAGGCTCATCCAGCTGCAGCGTCACAGTGATGGAGGACTCTTGCGTGGACTCCTGGCTAAAAAAAAAACCACGCTCTGCAGGGTTCTTGTGGTCTCAACATGTGTGTGTGAACGTCGGGTCTCCCGAAATGCGTGGTTTTCGTCACTGTGGTCCTTCAACTAGCTCGTTCTGTGATGCCAAAGTGGCCAATTCCCATAACTGATTTTGTATTTCAACGAAATGTCTCTGATGTCACAGAAACAAATCCTTAAAACCTAGTTTTCCACACCACGCTCCTGGCTGGAATGGCTTGGCCCAATCTCCGGTTTCAAAATGAAGCCACTGTTCAAACATCCTTAGGCTTATTATTTGTTTACAGATATTTGCCAACCACAGCGAAGTTTAGTGGTTGGTGGTTGCCCAAAAGAATGAGTGAAATAATGGCATCAACCTTTGCATTTTGTAACCAAGTGGAATAGCCAGGAGGAAAACGCGTCGGCGACAAGCAAAGGAACAGGAATTACAATCACCAGCGAAAACCGGCATCAACACCCGGACCGTTGTTTCCGGGACAGCTACAGGATATTGAAACAACCCTGGCCAATAAATATGGCCATTTGGAGCCGGATGGGTGCCAATGGATATTGAGCCGCGGGCAATATCACCTTTGGTTCAATTGCGCAGGCCCACCATGTCCTCTCCAAATGAAGAGCAGACTACCTGCTGCTTTTTTCCGCCTTGTGATGTCTGTGCTGCACGATCCCCAGCAATTTGCGTGACACCGGCAGAATAGACTAGCGGGCCCGAAGGCAACAACAGACCACCAGTACTCTTGTCTGCTGCTCAAATGCTTGGCTGGCCGGCTTTCCCGCGCTTACTGACTCATAGAGGTGGCAAACCCTCGCCTGATTCCAAATCCGGCGGCAAGTGCGTGTGCGGGAACCGTTTCTTTTTGCTTCAACCCGAACAAATCCAGCCAAAGAAGGGGATACCTACCTTCTGATAGACCCTCAAGAAAGAACCGAGTGTTGAATGGAGGGCTGGCAAAAACAACAAATCTCCATCCCCTCTTACTTGTTGTTTTTTTTTAACAAGCACTCGACTCTGGACGATTTAGCACCCAGTTGAGCCCAACCGGCCTCGTTCCCAACAGTGTCCCCCCGTTAAGCGTGGAGGCGCCGCCGCTTCCACAAAGATGATGGTGGGAGGTGTGATGTCCGGGGTACGAACCTGAAGGATCCACCTACCCCCCGTCGGGTTCCCAACGCCACCCCATGAAAAGAATGGCAACCGAGGTTTTCACACCAGGGCTAAGAAGGGGGGGATTCCCAGGTCCATATATCCAGTCCCAGGACATATGATACCCAATTTGGATGACAAGAAAACCACTGGTGACAAATGAACCCAACCATCGTCTCTTTGAATTCCTGAAACAATGGTTGTGACACATGAACCCAACCATTGCTGTAATGGTGGTTTGAGCCCCAGCGTCTCTTTTAGGGGGAGCCACTGTTGGGGTTGTGGGATTTCTATTGCAACAGCAAGTCCAGGCTTGTGTTGGATGTACGCCACTCACATTTGCATCCCCTATGGTTTCCTTTCAGGGACTCTCCAGGTTCATTCCCTCATTCCCTACTGAGCACCAGCATGTGACGATATACATACAACAAAAGCAACCAAGCCCGGCCATCCACTGCACCCTCTGCTCCTAGGAACCAATGCCTGGCCAAATGGCACTCCACATCTGAGCCCCGCGCGTGCAGAATTTTCCTGGCCGCTTTCGACATTCAAAAGAGAACCCCGCACACCGGGAGGTACAGAAAATATTTCTCTGCGCAACTGACGTTTGACATTGACATGGAAGCATGTGGACAAGCAGCCTTCCTGCTATATCAAAGTGAAGTGGGAACCCATCCCCAAGACTACTTTGTCACGTTAAGTGGAAATAACCCTTTCTGTCATGCAGACATGGGCATCTGCATGACGTCACTTTAAACGTGGATTGCCTTGGCGACTCACGGAAAGTGGCAACCAACAACTCAACTGTTCCACAAGGGACGCAGATTCAAAGGTGAACCTTTGGCTTGCTACGGACTCACTTTGGAACGCAGGTTTCATGTGATAAAGGCTTCGAGGAATCAGTCCTGGTTTGGACGATTTTCCTGAAGGGACCCTTTGATGGGCTTCATGTTGGTGGACTGGTGGCTAACCCTCACTTGGTGGTTTGGATAGGTGGATTCGTGGTTTGATTTTTTGTGGGCAAATGGGAAACTTCCGAATCCGTTTCTTTGACAGACTCAAATGAACGTGAGCAGCGCCCAACACCCACCACTTTGACACTTTCGTGGAAACACAAACATGCCCAGAGTCCCAAATTGGGAGCCGTCTTTGGACAGGGTACCTCTACAAAACCACCAATCCAAACCACTGATTAAGGGCTAAACACAACAACCAAAACCACCAAGCAAACAAACAAACAAACAAATAAACAAACAAACAAGCAAACAAGCAAACAAGCAAGCAAACAAGCAAACAAGCAAGCAAGCAAGCGAGCGAGCGAGCGAGCGAACGAACCAACGAACGAACAAACGAACAAACAAGCAAACAAGCACACGAACACACAAACAAACAAACAAACAAACAAACAAACAAACAAACAAAACAAACAAACAAACAAAACAAAAAAACAAACAAACAAACAAACAAACAAACAAACATACAAACACACACACACACAAACACACACAAACAAACAAACAAACACACACACACCAACAAACAAACAAACAAACAAACAACCAAACAAACAAACAAACCAAACAAACAAACAAACAAAACAAACAAACACACACAAACAAACAAACAAAACAAACAAACACACACAAACAAACAAACAAACAAACAAACAAACAAACAAACAAACAAACAAACAAACAAACAAACACACACACACACACACACACACACACACACACACACACACACACCCACACACACCACACACACCACACACACACCACACACACACCACACACACACACACACCAACAAACAAACAATCAAACAAAACGAACAAACAAACAAACAAGCTGTCAATCAAACAAACGACCAACCAAACAACCAAACAAACTAAGCGCGCACACACACACACTCATTCGCAGGTTCACGTTTCCCAACTGAGCCGGCTTCGCCCTCCGGGCAGGCCCGCGACGTTGGTGACCGTAGCCGGCGGTGTGCCGCCGAAGGCCGTGTCCACGTAGCTCTGCGCCTGGCGACGTGGCCTTTGGCCTTTGGCTCGGCCCGGGATCGGCGTGAAGCCACGTGAAGCTGCGAGCGGAGGGGCGGAAGGTGCGGTACGTGGTACTGTGGATCGTGAAATCCGGAAATCGTTCACCACCGAAACCACCTGGTGTCTGATTCGAATGCATTTGTTTAACCAACAAAGAATGATTTCAACCATGGTTTCCAAGTGGTGCAATAATTTCTCCATCCACAGTATGGTCTACTCCAAGCATGACATGGTTCCAAAGGCAACCCGGTACCCTGTTGGCAGCTGATTTATGCAATGGGCTTGCAAAATAACGATGGCTTGCCCCAATCATCATGACCAGTACAACCCAGCACCCCCATTCTAATTTCTCAGTCTCCTGCAGTAGGCACAAGGGATTTAACTCACGGAAAAAGGACATACTTAACATGAGAAGTGGTTTACAATCCTGGCTACCTGCAAAATATAAAGCGCATGCGACTTGGGCCCAAGATATCCTCCGGAATGCTGTTTAAGCAGCCATGCATGTGTTCTATCCAGTCCATGGGAAAGGCGGGTACCACGGGAATGTACGAATCATCAATTTGCCTGAATGAGTTGTTTTTCAGAAGGAACACATACATTATCAGGATCCAGTTACAAGCTGCTTGAACAGGAGGTAATTTCTGGGCCAATGTTCGAAGGGGGGATCAATTGAAGCAAACGGTAAGCCCACGCAAAAGGGATTGTTTGGGAAGCAACGGTACCACTAATACAATGGCATGAAACACACGGGTTCTTGGATGGACCTCAACACAAACAAAAAAGCGGATCGAACAGCCCAAGTGGATAGATTCCTTTTGGCTTCCGTTCAAAAGCAATGAGGTTGCTCCTCTTTGTGGGTGTCACCCTCGAATTTGCCAACTGATATACGACTGTTGCATCAGAACAGGTGTCACCCCTTTCTGCTGTATCATGTGTGTGTTGACAACCACCCACCCTCCTGGTGGGGACGCCCCTATCGAATAAGGCCAAATAAGGGTTGACCGCCCACTGCCGGCGAAATAAGACCCCTCACAATAAGGGCTGTCTCTCTTTGATTCTGAAAGGAGCCGGCTACAGGCATTTGACTGCTCGGTGAAAGTGGAGAACGCGTCAACTCCAATCACGCATCAGGGAAACCTGACAAACTAACGCTTGTGCTTCCGAACAGTGGGCAGCTAACTGGCAAATTCCAAGGCTCCTGGGTTTGAAAGCCGTCGTCTGTACTGCTATGAGTGGGCATGGCAAGAATGATGGTGGGAGCGAGGAGCAGGGAGGAACAAAGGAATCATTATCCAAAAGCACAAGCAAGTCTGCGCCATACCCAACATACACTGCGCTAAGGCGTTCTCTGGCTTATCTTTGGCCCTTTGCTCTAGCCTGAGATGTCCAATGTGAAAAAAAGAGAGCTTCAGCATCCTACGAAATTGAGATCAAAATCGACCAAAATGGCTATTAGGATCCAACAAGGGCAAATAGGAGCTATTCGGCCTTGCTAGCTTCCGTTTTGGACCAATTGCGCAAGTGTGAAGTGGGGCAGGATCTTGACGAGGTTCACCACTTCGTCAGCTCCACTGCCAGTAGACTCTGGCGATTTGGCCAAGAGATTTCCAGTTTCCCATTGGTACCCGCTATGCTCCTTTATGTTTTTGTTTCTTTTTTTGTGCTGGGTGTCTGGAACATCAACCATCATCAACATTCTGAACGGTGTTGTCCTGTTTTGCAATGTCCATTGGTGGCTGGCTTACTTTTAGTGCGCGTTCGTTGCCGATCAAGCAAAACAGGCATATGGTGGTTGTGTGTGTGGTTCTGCCAGGGCATGGGCCAAGTAAGGATTGCAGCTGCAGACTTTCAGGCGGCTCGCGTTGGCTCGTGGCTAGTGGCACAGGCATGTTGGGACCGGAGAATGCAAGGGATAATGCTGAGTGCATAACTGCCATTGCACGGCAATATGTTGAAGCCGCCGCAGGTGAAGCAGGGGGCTTGGCACATTTGAGCCATCTAGCAAGCAAACGCAAATCATGAGTGAATCGGACACACCTACACTCGAGCCGAATGTGCCTCAATGCACGAAATTGACCGAGACTGTATGAACGGAGTGTATGTTTGAGAATTAAGTTTGGCTGTTTTGGGCGGCTCCTTCTTCCACTGGTTACTGTCGAGGTTGTACCGGTTCTTGTGGCTGTTTTTTTGTCTCTGTTGCTGTTGCGCTTTGTGTGTCGTGGTTATGCACTAGCTTCGTGTTTAAACACTCAAAAGAAATCAAGTAGGCGCCATTCAGGCTCCCAGGCTCCATCTTCAAACGTCTCCCCAAACTCGATAATTGTTTGAAACATCAGGGGCCAAAAAGAACGATTCCGTACCAAGTGGTCTGAAACGGGCCTCCAGAGCGGGCACCAACACAACCACCTTAAACACTAAAAGTAAACTGGCTGGTCATCTACTAAGCTGACAAGTGGCATTCACTGGGCTTGCTCATACCCCAGAACATGCAGCAACGCAGCTTTGCCTACACCAGCGCCAGCCATGATCTTAGCAAGAGCCCTCCAGTAAAGGCTGGATATCTGTTTAAGCGTTTTGATCCATCCACGTCACATGAACCCCCAGGATATTCCCCCTTTAAACATCACCCCCGCCAAGGGACACTCACCTTTCATGGGCCAAAAAGGCGATGTTTACAACCACACGACATGGAAATACAGGGACCCCTGAAAAACCCCCAGGTTCCAAGGAGAAGTAAAGGCCTCTGCCTCGAGCCGATCGGATCGGAAAAGCGGATGGCCTGGTAGTTCCTGCGCGGGTAGGTAGTGCATGATGCACTGGGCGCCTTCCGAGTTCGAGAGGCCGCACTTGAATCCGTTCTCACGGAAATGGAAGCGCTAAGTTGCTAAGTTACTAAGTACCACAGCGAAAATTGGCCTTGGAAAAGGCCAAGAGGACAAAAAAAGAGGGGGAGCCAAGGAACCAGGTCTTGTAGCTTCATCTCAAGGGTCGCTGCATGGATGCGACGTTCCGCCTGCGCATAGCAGGAATGCTGCACCGCTTCGTCCCGGCTCCAACCTGAACCGGCAGCGGGCAAGGACAATCCCTATGTCAGGGTCCCTCGGATGTTAAATGGGGGGGGGGTCTGGAAAAATTAAACAAATGGGGGGGGGGTCTGGAAAAATGAAACAAATGCCCATCCCCATTTAGGCTTCCTTTTGGAAAATCATGGGCTAAGCTTCTATATCCTCTTTGAACATCAAGCCCTATTTTAAGCATCAACATGCATTTCAATCGGCTTGAGCTGAATGTGCCTCATGCACGCTTGAAACAATGGGTTACGTGTCTGAGAAAACATAGCGTATGCCGAGCGAACACGATTTGAGAGGTGGGTGAACGAAAGGCTAGCCTAGCCAGCCCAACAACGACATGTACGACTCAGGAGTGGCTAAGATATTAAGACTAGCAATCCTAAATGAACATCCAGAAACACAGATTCCCCAGCTGCAAACATGTGGACGAGATTATGGGGGGGGGGTGCTCTAGGTAAGGATGTGTCATTGCGAATCAGGCTTTCTAACGGCCCCCCTCCCCCCCCTCCCCCCAAACCCTGATTAAATCAGGCATTGTGGGAAGCTCAGCCCCTTAAAGAAAAGAAGCTAAAGCTTGGAGAACTCCCTGTGCTAGGTTTCGTGAACACACTTTCAAGGAAACACATAGGCACGGTTCTCCACGCTGCCTGTCTGCCTTTCCCATGACGTTTAATCTCCCTCCCAAGCCAGCGCTCAGCAACAAGTTGAGAAGACCAACACCGAGACGCCGAGGGCATTGCTTGACTTGTGGAACCAAAAACGACAAAACACAAACTGAAAACAATGCCAGGTGGGTATGGGTCAAAATTACAACCCAGGAATCGGACCGCAGTTTTTGGTCCTTGGTAACATTTACCAGGCTGCTATGTTGAGTACCTCAAACCACCTATTAAAAAGGGAAGTCACCCCATAATTTTGGGCCAACCCCCATTTTGAAGGGTAGTTTCAGGGTCCAGGTACCTATCTTTCACCACCATCGTTGTGTTGCTTTCAACCAAACAGAAACCAAACTGAACACGGCACTGAGCTTCCGGGGCCACCGGCAGTAGACGTCATAGAGTGTGGCTCTCTCCAGCAGCGCGAGGCTGGCATCGTCCTCCAAACAGCAGTGCTGAAAGGAAACCTTCCCAGTGACTTCATTTGGGTGTGGGTCAAAAATGGGTACCCCAAAGAAAATGGAACCCTGGGTAACGGAACCAAGGACTAAAACCTGCGGTCCCCTGGTGGTTTGTTTTTGACCCATAGCCATTTACCCATGTAGAAGGAAACCAAGGAAACCACCCTTGAACACACGGACAATGGATGGGTGCCTGCTGGTCACTGGGATCTACTGACCTCGGGCTTTTAGCCACTGAACCCATTGTTGCAAGCCCCTTGGGTTATAACCAGAATCACCAACCCTTTCCTAGTACCCTGCTCCTTTGTACAAGTACTCAATTCAAGAGGTACATGGGTATGGGTCAAAATTAAACCACCAGGAGCTTTGGCACAATTTACCGGGGTTCCCAAAACGGGTACCTATTTTTGACCCACAGCCACATTGATTCAGCCGCCAAAGTGTGGCCATCGGGACAGGCTTGGCATGCGGAGTGCAACTACTGCGTCATACACACACGAAGTGTTGACAGGCCACCTGCTGCATGGCTGTGAATTTTAATAAGGGATCTTTTGGTGGACCTCATTTACATGAGCGGATTCATGTCCACCAATCACTTTTGCGGTGGTTCCCTATTAAAATCCATGGCCACCTGCGACGTCTGCGGGCGAGTGCTAGCACAAATCGGAGTGCGACAAGTCCGTGGAACTGGAAGGGCCGGAGCACAGTGCTTGTTGATACTGTAGCTCCTCCAGTAGAGAGGTTAGAATTAGGGTACCCGATTTTTTTTCCTGTAGTCTATTTTCAGTGGGGGAACCCTCCCAACCAAAACAGGGGAGAGAAGGGCACTACTGGGGGACCTAGTACTTCTAGGCTACTGCAGGCCCTCAAGTCATGCCCTGGGAGATTCGTCAGATCTTCGATCCTCCAGGCGCGACACATCGATGGTGGCGGAGGCCGACGCATCGCCCAGCTGGTCCGCGTAGTAGTCGGCCTGGCGGTTCAGCAGGGGGCTCCGTTCGAAGTCCTGCGCTTCTCCAATCGAACTCCCCGCCTCAAGTGGCCGTGGGTCAAAAAACCGGTACCCAAAACAGAACCCTGGGAAATAGAACCAATGACTCAAACCTGCGGTCCCCTGGTCGTTTAATTTTGACCCATACCCAAGTCGAATTCTACCCACCCTCCCTTGTGGCCGCAACGGGGAAGGTTATGGGAAAGGGCTCCTTTGCAAAGGGTACTCCTTCCATGCATTGCATCGCTTTGAGGGGTGGAACCTCACCTCTTCTGTTTCGTCACAGGGTGCCACAGAGAATCCTTCACCAGAATGGTCGAATCTAGGGGTGGAGATCCATGTGGGTGTGAGCTTTAATGGGGGACCCTTGGGTGGACATGATGTAGGTGGGGATTCAAATCCACCAACTGCCACCAACCACTTTGGAGGGGATTCCCTATCAAAAGTCGAAGCCATGATAGAAGAAGCACAACATGCCCCGACAATGATACTCCTCTGCATCTCATGAAGGTGACTCAGCGGCAACCCAGTGCGTAGGTTCAATGTCACAGAACCATGCATTTCCTTGTTGGGACACCTGGGCTATGGGTAAAGCTTGAAAACATGCCCCACCTGCCTTTCCAAGGAAGCCCAAAAGCCAACCCCCTGCACGAAACCATTGCACAGTTTTCCCCAACTGAAATTGGCTGGCGGCGCGCGAATTGTTGTGCCCTTTACGGAGGGTCACGTTCCCATGGTGATATTATATGATCATCCGACAATGGTCGTACAATCATTACCTCAAGCGTTGGACCCTCCACTGAATGGAGCAGCACCTCCATTCCCGGGTTGCGGACCTCAAAAAGTGCCTGCAGGCTGTAGGCTACTTCATGGTAAAGGACACCTTGGGTCAAGACTGGACCGAGCTGCGCCCACGCGGCACTTCCTTGTGCACTCCAAGGTCCACTTCCCAAATCAGGGCTTTCAACAAGGGAAGAGTACACCTTCATCTGTTGGTATTAATATGGACATTGGTGTACCCGGTGCTGGCAAATGGTTCGAACCAGACCGCAATCGATGAATCCAGCTATTTGCAACCAAACTGCTTCCGGAAAGGACAGCTACGCTGGTGGGTTTGCTGTTGCTTTCCATGTAAGCACAATCCAAGCGGGATGCCTAAGTTTGCACATTTCCAGGGGATCTATGGTCGCTCAAAAATCCTTAGGGACGTAACCATAGGCCAAGCCATTCCCAGTGTTTTGATAAGGCTTGGAGCCATTTCGGACGTTTCTGCCAAAGGTGGGGGGTGCAACTCAACTACTCAAAGGACGCTTTCCTCTTTCAGGTCCCTTTTGAAGTGCTGTGAATATTCATACAGTGGATCGACGAAGTCCTGCACCACTTCAAAACCATGGGAAAACATAGTTCATTAGTATCTACAGCAGAATCGACTCATGCCAGGCTTCCTTAGGTGGTGCGAAATGGATTTCGTCCATCCACAGTAGGTTTCAAAACCCCAAAACTTGGTTTTGCTTCCCCTGTCTGATTCGTGGGAGACGTGTCCCGCCTTCAGAATGCGGTTGATGCTGAGGCTCGTCTCCCCCGAGTCGCTGCGGGTGACGCGGCAGTAGCCCCGGCAAGCCTGGCCCAAGGCGCAAGGATGGCGTCCTGAGAGTCGCAAACACAACTTGTCTAGGTCCAGTAGAGTCAGTAGAGAGGTTAGAATAAGGGTACCCGATTTTTTTCCTGTAGTTTATTTTAGTAGGGGAACCCTCCCAACCAAAAAAGGGGAGAGAAGGGAACTGCTGGGGGACCTAGTTGTTCAACTTGCTTTTGCTTTCTCCAGAGCAGGCGAGCCCAGAACAGCAGCATCAAAACGATTGGCCCTGCTATGGGGTCTCATGTAGGACCAAGGGCTCCCCATATCACCTTGCCCCCTGTTCAGTGGTTTGGGGCCCCAAGACTTGGCAGGAAGGGCGTGCCGAGAACTTGCTGCTTGCTTCAAGAATCTTCAACTCCTCACGGCCGCGCCAAGTGCCACAGGCTGTGACATGGCTGTGGGTCAAAACCAATGGTACCATTTTGGGGTAGGTGCACCACCCATCTTAGTCTATTCTAGTGGGGATTGGGATGTTCACTGAGGGTACGGGTTTTATGGCCCCATAGGTGCTGAAGGGAAACCAAGAGGAAACCCGCCGTTTGGAGGTCCACCCCTGTGCAAAGCTAAGAAGAGGGGGGAATGAAGGAGATGTGATCTCCATTGAGTTTTTCTGTGGCGGTGGCCAATGATGCGAAGCTTGCCCTCGATAATTTGCCGAGAAAGGTTTTTGTATTATGAAATTGCTCAATGCACTTTGTTGGATCTGTCAATTCAAAGTTTAAAGGCGGGTATTAAACTTACAAATTTTGAGTTGTGAATACCAGAAGGTAAGCTCTGAATCATTGCCCTCTATCAAGGGCTGTCAGGAGTTTTGTATGTACTCTTTCCTGGATGTTGGGCTGAAACACATGTTTATTAACAGTAGCACTGCGCCTCCAAAGCAGCCGGAAACGAGGGATTCCACAAACCCAAGCAGCGAGACTGCGTTGCGTGGCCGCCAGGCAAACCACATGACTTTGCACTGCCAGGGCGGGCTGCCTCAGCTTTTGCCCAACCCAAGACTTCCATTTGGTTAAGACCCTGGAGAAAAAAAAGAACAGTAGTGATAGAGTCCCTCAAAACCAACAGGGGGAATAACAATTATTCGAAAGCAAATGGAAGAATATAATTAGTGTGATTGGTCCATAGTTGGTTGACCTCAAATGACAGACTGCAAAACAAATCGGAGGGGGGGGGTGAAAGTACCGATTTCCAGTCGGGTGTTCCACCCCAGTCACCCAATCCACTGGCAACCTGAGATTAGTTTGCGTTTTCAACATTTCAACCTTGTACCCTGTATTAGTTTGTCCAGCTGAGCAAATCCAAAAAAGGACCATCAAGAATGAAAACGCCAAGATGAACAGTGATTCCATGTGAGCGGCCCGTTGCGGTGTCGCAAAATGTCTTTAAGGGGGTAGGTTGGGTCGCAAGGGTTACGATGGTTCCTAGCCATAGCGGCCTGAGACCCTCCAGCTGTGGTTCGCTTCCTTCAAGCCCTACCGGCTCAAAACTAAGACTTCAAGAGCCCAGAGCTCTATCTCTTTTTGTTGAACCAGCCACGAAACTGACGTGCAACTAGGTCCTCCAGTGGAGAGGTTAGAATAAGGGTACCCGATTTTTTTCTGTACTCTATTTTAGTGGGGGAACCCTCTCCCAAAAAAGGTGAGAGAAGGGCACTACAAGGTCCCCAAACAGCTTGGTCTGGAGAAGTCAGACCCCAGGTGTTGGCAAGGGAGCCAAGGCACGGCTTGAGCGAACCAGGAGCTCGGATTCAATCGGTCAGACTGATCCGAGACGCCTCGTTGCACTTGAAGGTGATCTGGATGTTGTTCTCCTGGCCGACACCCTACTCAGAAAAGGGCACTCTGTGCCGCTGTTTAAAGGCCAGGAGCAAATCCATTTGTTGACAGGTTTGTACTTGCCACACAGCCACAGAGACACAGAGACACAAAGACACACACACACACACCAACACACAAACTCACACACACAACACAAACCAACACCACCATCACCAGTCTCAATAATTATCTCAACCACAAACGCCAAGACCGGGAACGATCATCTCCACAACTCGAGCAGTTACACGTAAAGGAGAGAAACCCAAAAAGCAAAAGCAACTCAACTGGACCGCCCCCCCCCAAAAAATAAATAAATAAAATAAAATAAAATAAAATAACGACAGGCTAAACCAAAACAAGCAAACGCCATCAAACCGATCCAACCAACCCCGGGCGCTCGAAAAATCGACGCGTTGGGCTTCCCGGCGGTGGTGCCCTTGGCACCAAGCTCCGTGAAGACGGGAGGGGATTGGTCCAGCGTGGTGATCTGACCTCGGAGCGTAGGGAATGAGCTTCGACCGGGCAAATGAACCTGAAGGAGATCTTGACCCAGAGGGTCCAAACCTCGTGAGGGTCCAACCATTGATTCCAATTCCACACTTGGCGCTGAGTGGAAGAGGCATTTGTTGGAGGTGCTAAAATCAGAGAAGATTAGGGCCAACAGGATTTAAGCCTGCAACCTCCCATCCCCTACGGGCGGGCGCGCTGCCATTGCGCCATGGCCCCGTCACCGAAGAATGGTAACAAGCGAACACTTTTGGCATCCATGTCATTTTCTGTCGGGCGCAAACGAATCTAGGACCCCACAACCAAAAACATACTTCTGGATCATATCATGTCTGCCGTTCACGAAAATTGTTTGCAAGCTGTAACCTTAAGGGCAGCCAAAGACGCTGCTCATGAGTGCAGGAGGGCATCAACCTAATTATGTGTGACGCGTGTATCTGCAAGCTCTTCTTTTTCCAGTCACATATGACATGGGTAAGGCGCAAGCCCACAAGAGGCGCCGTGTTCAGAATGTCCGCCTGGCAGGGAAAGGACTGCGTGTCTAAATCGTGAGACAAATGGCAACGCTTTTTTCTCCGTGGGAGAATCGGCCTGTTTAGTTGGTCTGTCACACCCTCGTCCTCTAAGGAACCAAATGGGTTTGGGACCCAGAGTCACTTGGAGTGTTGTGAGGCGGGTTTTGTCCGCATTCAATCGCAGGACTTTGGGGCATAGCAAAGAACATCCAAATGTGTCCTGCAAGGTGAAGAAGAAGAGTCTGGCACTGCGGGCCTAAATGCACTGCAGCTAGAGACATCATCATCGCTTTCCCAGTTTCCCATCTAATTCAATGAAGTGTGGCAATGTATGGCATGAATCATCTGAATGGACAAGAGAGTTCTCATGGGACAACTGGGAGCCTCCCTTTGCGGCTCGATGTCCCAAGCCCTTTGCGTCGCCCGCGAAACTGTCCGCTGCGCGCCTGCGCCATGTAGTTGACAGAGGGCAAAGTCGACGCATCTTCTGCAGCGCAGTACCTAGTCGGGCCAGATCTCGGACAGTTGTGTGGTCCTAGGATTGGGGAAGCCGGGGTCTTCGGATGTTGAAAGGGAAGGCACAAGGAAACCACAAAAAATGATGGGAGACTTTACAATCACCCACGAAGCTTGACGGCGATGGCTAGCCAGTGAATTGTATCCGCATGAATGGGGCGGCCAGCAAGTAAACTAGACAAACATGTGGGTCCATACGGTTGCCATTCCAAGGATGGCTCTTTCAAGGACAATTGGCGAGCGCCTGTTGTAAGCAGCCAATGCAACAACGAATTCAGTAAGCTCTATACTTCATGGTAAACACAAACTACACCAGCATAGATTCCGGATAACGACACCCCCCCCACAATCACCAGCACCTCAAACAGCATCACCCAAAGCACCTGCCAACTTGCGCCCCCCCCCCCGCCACGGCCCGCAAAAATGGACCCGAGCCGTCACCAGCACCCTCAAACAGCGCCTGGGCCAGCACCCCAAACTGCATGCCCCGTAGCACCCAGCCGTCAATCTCGCAAATCACTTTCCCCTCTTTATTAGAAGTTAGAACATGTTAGAACCCCATAGCTTCCAGCTATCTGGGGAACTGGGCTTCCACGACAGACCATGCCACGCCGAGTACAACACAACCAAGCCGAACGGCCAGGATTCAGCTCGATCCCGGATGAATCAAACAGGCGCTGAGGTTGCCTCCTTAATGAAGCGATCTAGACGATCCCCCCTTCAATGGGACACTCCCGTGAATCAACCAAGTTTCTTCTTAGACCCTGGACAAACATGCAAAATTATATTGTGGATGGGAAAAAATCTGCACCACCTAACAAACCCTGGTTTCTGATGATTCTGCCGTAAATACCAACAAACAATGGTTTCCCATGGTTTCGAAGTGGTGCGAACGGATTTCGAGGACCCATCCACAGTACCACATCCCATTTCACCCCAGGTTGGAGGGTCCCCTTGCACCAACGGCCAGCGGGCGTATCATAGTCCGTGAGCTCCGCCAAACCGGTGACCACGACCTCCACGTTGGTGTTGATGGGGCTATTGGGCCTCGCCACTTGGGCGGCAACTGGGACGCAATGGTCAGAACATGAGTCTGGCGTTCAGTGGGAAACACCCCCTTCAGGTGGACATTACTTAGGTGGGGATGTGTGCCAACCAATTAGTTTGAAGGGCATTTCTTACTCAATTCATAGCGAATGTGTGTTGCGTGGTCTTGTTTGTGCGTGTGTGTCAAGGCAGGATTTGCCCCCCACCAAAATGGACTTGAGTTTCTCTTTGACCTTTAAGCCAAGCTGAAAAAGAGAAGCCTCCAATGCTATGTGGCTGGGGAAACCCAAACCGGTCAGAATATGCCACCGCCCCGAATCAGGGGCCGTGAAGCACATGGGAAGGTCAGTGACTTCTTTGGCTAGGTGTATGTATTGCGGGTACCCTCATTGGGATGGTTTAAAAAGGAAACCAAACGGAAACACAGTTCTAGGGTATACCTGACGCCAAAAACGGCCACCCTTCAAAAGCCACACCAGACAGTACGTTGGTTGCCTGAAGGACATCGGAATATGGGGATCTGAGTGGCAGAGTCTGGGAAATAATTATATCATGTCGGCAACGAGATAGCACAATCCCCACATCACGAGGCTAACAATTGAAAACCGCAAGCCCATGGGATGGATCCAGCCACACTGGAGACCAAGTGGTGCAAGGGGAACAAACATCTGTCGTGCATGCCGCGGTCAAAGAACTCTACCTGGGTTGGCATGGATCTGGATGCCACTGAGGATGGTCATGGATCCCGTTGGGGAACTAGATGAGGATTCCCTAGAAACCGATTCCCAGAGTGGACATAAGCACTCCTGACTACTGGGCAGTTCCTAATTCACAGTGACTCGAAAATGGCAAGAGGATGACCTTTACCAAAAGGGCACACTGCCATCTACGTTTGTCTGTACGTCGGCAGTCATGTCAACCCCGGATTAATACATCCCTGGTTGATCGGGGGTGTCATCACTGTTGTGGGTTGACACACCGCCCCCCCCCCCCGCTTTAAGGGGGGGTTACTGGCTTCTTCATCCGGCCCCACTGGGGGCTCCGGCGACAGGCCGGAAAAGCCCACGTAACCCCGGAACCCGCCACCGGAGACCTGACATGCGAAAACAAATTCTCCAGCCCTAAGGGTCTGGATTGATTTTGGGCCCTCAAAATGGGTTGTTTTTGAGGGTCGGGTTGTTTTTGAGGGCCCTTGAGAGGGTCGGGGTTCTGCATTGGAGGGCCCAAGGGTGTGCATTGGAAGGGTCATGACCCTTAGGGAGACAAGAGCAAACAGCAACCTTGGGGTTGCTGGGTCCTACTTGGATGTTCAACCTACTCAGTAGGATATATCAAGAATCTAACTTGGGCAACTGGGGTTTAAGCATGTGGTTATAACCTACTTACTGAGTAGGTTCAACATCCAAGTATGGCTTCTGCCTCCATTTTGGGTGTGCGTGTTGTTTTTTTGTGGAAGGTTTTGGGGTCTGCTTCAAGATGATCGAAGGGAACGGAAGCCACGGGCTCAGCAGGCTGCCTGGGCGAGTCACTCCCTAGCGTTGGTGGAAAGCAACATCGAAAGTGAGGCTCCGAAGCCACTCCCTTCCAACTTGGCTGTGGGTCAGAAAGGGGTGCCCAAAAGGGAACCCTGGTAAATGGAAACAAAGACTAACACCTGCGTAACCCTACCTCTTCAATTTTGAGCCAGACCCACTTTGCTTAAACCCGCTGCTTCCTTTGGCAAGTCGGTGCCAAAGCAAGTCAACAGGCATATACCTTAAGGTGCTGTGTCACCGTGTTCCCCAATTCTGCTTATTTGGTGGTGCCCACCAAAGGGCAAGTGCACCCTTGAAACTCCAAAGGGTCTCCTGGGTGATCACCTGATTTGTGATGGAAAATCAAGGGGGTGAGTCTGAGAGTCGCGTTGGATGTGTGATAAATGTGTATGATCTATTGGAATCTGCAAAGCCACAACGGGGTACCTGCCCCAGTTCCATAACTTCCAGTTCTGAAGTGGACGCTTTGAGCCATCAATTTGTCGGACTCATAGAGAGGTAAAGGCTAGCTGCGCTCTTTCCGAACATCACGTAGGTATGCAGCGAACGGAAACTGAAACCTGGCACTCGAGTCCCCGGCAAAACAAAAGGCAAACCGTCCGCGGCTGAAACCGTACCACGTCCTGTTGCTTCAGCCACGTGCCGTCGGACGAACTCTGGGTGCCCCGCCGCTGCGAAGTTGGGAGTTCCGTAGCCCGTGCCTGTCTGGAAAGAGTTGCACCACACCTCGGGCGTGGCAGACCACTCTAAGAGAACCCAGTTGCGGCCTTACTGCTACTAACAGGGCGATCGATTCGGTACGTCAGGCGATTGGCTGGCAGTTATGGCCATGGAAAGGGCACTTTCCATGGTTATGACATGCTATGATCCGGTTACCGATCACTTACACAGTATCCTGTCCCTTTAGGCAACTTTACCCCATCAGCAATTGGAATTTGGGGTCAGACGAATGCTGGAGCTCCGAAAATGAAACAGCTTGGCTTTCAGGAAAATGGCATGGAACCTGAAGCCGATGCTTGTTACAAACCAGATCCTGCACGACAAACCATACCATCAAAAAAAAGGAAGCAAGGGCTGGTGAATCAATGAGTGAAGAGGCAGAAATACAAAAATATGAGCCAAGCTCCATGGACAGCCAAACCAAGGAGCCCCTACGTTCATATGTTTGTCCGCCAACCAAGGAGTAAAATATCGCCAGGTGCGATCGCTTTTTTCCATGCACTTTGCCCCCAAAACCGATCGCAACAGTGACTGAAAAAAACGATCGCAACTTGGCTATCTAGCTACTTCCTTGAGGCTTCTTGGAGAAAAACTCGTTTCGCGCCAACTTTTGCATTGCCAAGATGCGGTGCCCGGCTCGTCCAGCTTCACCTCCGAGAATCCGGGCGGTTGGAGCTACCCGGATCACGGGAAAGAACCCAAGACACCCACCAAAAGGTGAAACCTAGGAATCGCAACACAGAAGCTAAATGGGAGGGTAAACTCTTTTGGAGTGGTTTAAAGGGACACCAATGGGAAAACACTTCATTGGTAACTCCTATTTTTTTGACACCAACCGAAATGGTCAACTATGTTTTGTCACTCCTCAGCGATCCTCACCCCAGCACAAGATTGCAGCGAGAGTAAGATATCCTGTATGATCATGGTCTCGGAAAGCCCTGCAAAAAAGTTATTTTCAGGAGTTGCAAATTGCCACGCTTCCAGGTCCCAAAAAAAAGCACATGAAGCAACCTTTCATCCATCGCCAAGTTTCCATACATATAACACCCGCATATGTGACACAAAAACAAACCCACCCACTCTTTTTGGGTTGGAAACGCCCCCCCCCCCCAAAACAAAAAAACGCCCACCCCGACCCACACCCCCCCAAAAAAGAAGAAAAAGAAACACCAAGCATGGTGCTTGCCTTGATGCGGATGTCCGTGCTGATGGGGCTCTCGGCCGAGACGATGGTGAGCACCGGCCTCAAATAAATTCAGTCACCCGGGAACCGCGACGGGGAGCCTTGACTCGGCGAGTCTGGAGATCCACGGGTTCCGTTTCATGTCTGGACTGCCCAGATCCCCTGCGAAAAGTTTAACTTACCACTAAACACTTAATGGCTAAAAAGCTAAGGGGATGGCTGGGAGCCACCAAGATCTATGTGATATGCAGGTTAGGTTTATAGGCTTCATCTCGATTGGGTCATGTTTTTTTAGGGGTGGTATCCTTTGGGATCCTTGTGGTTTCCCTTCCAAAAGGGGGAACTCCATGGAGTGTGTCTCAAGAATGGCGATCGGTGTGATAGGGAGGGACTGAGAAATGGAATGAATGTGGGGATTCCCGAATAAAGGAAACCACTAGTTGGATCGTTTATCTCGGGGTCATTCCCTTATTCCCTGCTGAGCACCAAAGCCAGTATTGCCGCCCTTGCCACACAAAACACATTGCTACCCATTTAGCGGCCGCTCGTCTCTTGCCTCTGGTCCGCCCTGTTGAGACACAAGCACTACCACTCCAAAAGGCCCTGGGCGTGTCCCACGCCCAATCCATCGAAAAAATGCATCTGCTCCCATGGATTCTGTTGCATAACCCCCTAGCAACAGCAACAGCAACGTCAACATCAGCAACAGCAGCATCTGCAGCAACAGCAACAGGAAGAACAGCAGCCCAACCACCGAGACCTAACGGCGAAGGATTCTTCCGTGAACTCTATGGAAAATCCTCTCCCCGGCCACCCGGCGGCGTGGTGTCCAGGGTGCTGAGGGTCACGACCTGGCAATGCTCGGAAAATGGACACATGGTGATGCCTCAAAATCGATGATTAGGAACCCAGGGGTGGTGTGTGTGTGTGTGTGTGTGTGTTTTTGTTGTTTCTTTCCCTTGAAACCAACCTGAAAATTGGACCCTCCAAAAGCACGCACACAAATGATTCTTCATGGGACTGTGTGGGAGCCTGCTTTGGGTGGGAAATTTGGGTGAATTTACGCCCCATGCAAACAATGGACCAGCAAAGATGCATCCACCGAAGCACAGTGATTGGATACTTGAATCCCGATTGCTGCACGAAGGCACACACGGCGTGAAGCAGAGGGACATTCTGCTCGACATGGTCTTAACATGTTGTGTTGATTAGCTTCATCCACGCTTACATCCCCTCACAAAAAGTCCAAAGTGTTCATTTCCCACTCCCCAAAAGTTCCAAGTCAGGCAAGTCGCTTGCATTTGCTTAAGTCCACTGGAACATGAAAACATGTCCAGTAGAGAAGTTGTGTCCCTTTAAAACCAAAAGGGGAAAATCGAAAGGTCTTACTGTGCATTTGGGGCGAGGTTACCCTGTTTGTTGCGTGACCTCACCACCTAAAAAAATGTAAAAAAAAAATAAAAAAAAAAATGAAAGAACTGAAACAACATTTCCAGTAGTGAAAAGGTTTCCCTTTAAAACCAACAGGGGGAACGAAACAAACATCTTCATTTCAGCCAATGGAAGTCAGGGCGCGGGTTTCCTTATTTTGAAACGGGCCGTGTGCTGCCTCGCCGGCCGTGAACTTCTGGCCATTGGGGATCTGTGGGTAGACGTTGTCGTCCTCCGCATAGCACCAGATGTCGTACCTGACAGAAGGACCCCTGAAAAAAAGGGTTGCTTGAAAGAATACATCCTAAAAATGCCTTTATTATACGGGGATTCTCTCAGACCAGCTGACACCTGTCTGCTGTCACCGCCGTATCTCGGGTTGCCCCAAGTCACCACAGACCCATCCTGCAAGATGGCGGCAAAAGCGCGATCCGTGGATTGGATCTGACGTACCCCGCGCAGCCGTTCTTTGACCTTCCTGCAATCTCCGCCATACGACGGGCTGCCCCAAGTTATACCACCTCCCCATCCCTCAACAAAGCGGCGAAGGCAGAACCAGACGCGCTGATTTGCTGAATTGCCCATGTATCTACCTCGCCATTGCGCAGGATGGCAGCAAATGCGTTATGAGTAGCTTCAATATGCTGGACCTCTGCCAGCTTTTGTTGCACTTGACAGCTGTCACCACCTTCCGTGGGATCGCCCCAAGTCACTACTGTGCCATCCTCCAGGATGGCAGCAAAGGCACAGCACGTCGCATGAATCTCGTGGACCTGCTTCAGCTGTTCCCACACCGCACTGCAGTCCCCGCCATACTTCGCATTGCCCCACGTCACAGCCCTGCCACCGCTCACATAAAGTGCGAATGCCTTGGCAGTGGACGCCAGCTGCACCCTTTGCACGACCGCCTGCACGGTGTCCCCATCTCGCACGCCCGTCCGAAGCAGCGGTGAGTCCAGGTCCAGCGCTCGCCCGTGCGCTGCCAGCTGCAGAAACTGCCGCTGGAGTGGCGTTGCGGCGCGTCGCGCAGCTGCCGCACCGTCCCCGAAGCGAAGTTCCCAAAGGGACACCACGCAGCCGCGGCCGCTCGGCAGATGGACGTGCACGGAACCGCTGCGTTCGCGGCTTCTGGAGCGGCTCATGAAATGGCAACCCACATGGCGCTAGGAGACTTGGAAACAGGACCTTGACCGCTTTTGGTGTGGGCGGGCTGTGGTTTCATAGACCGATTGCTACGTACATTGTTCACATTCGATCCAAAAGCACATCCCTCTCTTTGCAAAACAACAAGCAACACACAGGAATGGTGTCCAGGCAGTCTGTTCTCAAGTTGTCGATGAAATGAACCAGGTGCCGAGGAAGGTGGTTGACAAAGATCATATGTGGTTGGCCACCAGGGTTAACACCTAGGGGACTTGGGAGTGGGCTCTAAAGCCTATAGAACCAATACTCGCCACCCAACTTGGCAGCGACCCCCCCAGCGAGTGCGACTACTCGCAGCTCTGATGGGCAGCAGCTCTGCTGAAGGAGTGATTTTGCCTTGCCCGCCGTAAGAACCGCGTTTAAGCTGGCAAGCCTAACATTCTCCCCGCAACAACAAGCACCATGAGGCACATCGATACCTGACAATGCGACACCATACTACAACCACATAATTCAATCGCTACCCAACCTGCAAAAAGCGATATAGCGGTCTCCAAAACCAATACCCTGATTGTCCCTTGCTCACATCAAGGCTCGGACAGGTCGTGGCTTTGGGTCTTACCCCACTCTACGGCAGCTCGGGCCGATCCCACCCTGGAGGACTCGCGACTGCCAACGTCAAATGGAGTCAAGTCACAATGGTTTTGCTGAATCCAGCGGAGAAAGCACACGCATGCAAAGAACATTTATCTTTTGAGCAGTCGATCATGGCATCCTAAACCCTGAGCCCGGAGCATGGCCCAGGAGTCGGAGCGAATGGTATGAGGCTTGACACAGCCTTCACGCCCGCTTAGTCCCTGATGTCATCCCTCATGAACCACAAAGGTGTAAGGCCAAAACCGCACTTGCACTTCCCCTGGCATCCAACAGAAAGATACGGCAATTACGGAGAAAGTTGAGGATTCCCTATGTTTCCCTTTAAAAACTCGCCCCCCCCCCACTAAGGGAAACTCACCTACGGGCAAACAAAAAGCTGATGTATACCACCACCCTCTTTCCAGAAAAAAGGGCCCACTGAAAAACCTCTCGACAGGCGCACTGGGTCTTGGCATCAAGGCCGGCCATCGTCACCTCAGAGCCGTCGGAAAAACAATCCGGCAGCAGATGGGTACGCCTTTTTTCAGGGGACTCTGGGGACGTCTGTTTCTGAAACCTGGGGAACTTTTTGAGGAAACCACGGCTTGGGAGCCTATAGTCAAGACTGTCAAGACACCATAAAACCATGAAGCCCATCAAGTGTGCTGTGGATGGACAAAATGTTGCACCTGACGGTCGGGGGGCTTTACCAATCCCAACTGGTGCGAATATTTTGTGCATCCACAGCTATCGAACAATTCCACAGCTATTATAATAAAGTCTATGTAGCGGTCCTCAGTTCTCAGTACCAGCAAATGAGCTGCACAAGCAAATCTGGATCCATTCATCAGAATTCGAAACCTTCCCTTCTGGGCAAATGATTCGCCAGCCCAAAATAAGGGATCCTGAAAGAAACCTTCACGGGTGACGAAGGGTTCGAGATGTCGTCTCAGCCAGCCAGGACCCCGAAACGTGACGTCAAGGCAATGGGCATCGGCTCGTCACCTGATAGGAATCATTAGAATCGAATAAAAAAACAATAAATTCCTGATCAACAAGGCAGCCAGCGTCATTGCATTCATTCCACTGCCATGGTTGAAAACGACTCTCGCGGACAGGCCTCCATGGCCAAATCAGATTGGGGAGTAGAACAAAAGCTAAAAATCCACAGCGACACCCTTGTACAGCTGCTCCTTGCAGATCACGGAGCGCCACAAGCCCAATTGCTCCTAAAGCTGATGCCGTTCGTCCTGGAACAGTTGGGTCGGAAGTTGTTGCCAGTAACCTTTCTTCTAACCCACTCACTATGGTCGTAGATCACCTCAGTAGGACATAACACGGGTCAGGAAGCGCTGACCCGACGTACCCCGCCCAAGCTGGTGCGGGTGTTTCGCGAAAACGCTCCCAGCTCTTGGACCTCGCACCGCGCACGCCGTGGTGCCGCAGGCGCTGTTGAACTCGTTGTTCTGGCGGATCAGGTGCGGTCTTTCTCGGGCCCTTTGTGCGGCTAAAAACGCCTCCGCTGCTGTTTAGTCACACATCAACAGAGTCAAAGGACTGCTGAACGAGGTGCTGGGAAACAAGAAAATCTGCCTTTTTGGAGTGGATTGGCCAAAGTGTAGTCCAAACTGTTTATTTACCACTAAAATGGTCTTCCCAGAAAGCTCGAAGTCCAGAAACTGAGGAAGTGAGAAATGCAACATGGAATGGGCCCCTGGAGAAGAAACAGCCTACATTGCCCGAAGTGACTGGCTAGAACGCACTGCTGTATGTGCGACTTCAACGAGGTACAAGTACCACACATCACCGACCTGGGAAGGCACCTGAAAGATTATCCTCACTGTGGCTGTATCTCCGAAGGGTGTAGATCTCGTTGCTAAAGTTGGCCAACTTTGGAGGCAGACTCTGGTGCACCAAAACAAGCACGCAGCCCTTCCTAGCAGACCCAGTCGAATGAAGATTTGGGCAAACAAACAAGCGGGGATACAGAGTGAGCGGGGATATGGTTGGATTCCCTTGGCGCCATTTCCCATATCAAGTCAAGGTGCATTTAGGGGGAATCCTCCTGTATTTTTGGTTCCTCCTGTATCCCTGCTAGTTGGTTTCCCAAGATACGCGCCTGGAGGATCTCATTGATGCTGGGCTCCGCAAAGCCGGTGCGCACCGGCATACACCAAATCACGCCTAAACGGCCCGGGCGGCGGCGATTGGCCGCGATTTGTTTCTTGTTTGGACTGGGCGCTAAGTCGCCCTTTTGCTGATGGGCAAAATCCGGTGGCTGTTTTTGGAGGGTACCCCTTTCAGAGTGGGTTCAAGGGAAACCGAAGGCAAGAAAAAGGCTTTTTCTTGGGGTCCCTTTGACACATACCTGCGTCGCAGAAACACGGGGGGGGGGTGGAAATCAAGGGCTGACTTTAAACACCATCCCCCGTTTTGGAGTCCCTTCCTTTTCTAGACCCCCCCCAAGTGTTTGGACCACTTGCAGGCCACAAAACGTCACTCAAGACTCAAGTCCCGATCGCTGGCAAGGCATTCAAAGCCGTCCGAGAAAGGAAGCCATCCGAGGTGATGCTAATCTTTAAAGACTCCCTATTTCTTCAATACTCCTAAATTTTGTCGGTCATGCTCGAGAAATCCTTACAATAGTCGTCCAACAATCGGAGAAAAAAAGCAAGTCCTTCTGACCGCTTGTTTTTTGTAGAAGCTGCAGGTCAAAGCGTGTGTTGGCCAACATGTCCTTGCTGAACCCGACAGAAGCGCTGCTTCATTCCGCCAGGCGCGGGGGTATTGTCTTCTTTAGATGTCCTTTAAAACCTCCCACAAAAAGACACACGGAGGTGCTTTTTCGTGAGGGTACTGGTCCCCTGAAAAAAGACACACCCGCATGCGCAAATGAGACATCCAACTGCCTGTCTCGTCCAGGGTCAGTGTGATGCGCAATGACGTCTCCGAGATCGCAGTGCCTCGGTGCAAAACAAGAGGTGGCAGCGGTCACATCGACACACCAATTGCACTTTGGCTTTCAGCCAGGTTGTGCAGCCCTTTCAGAAACTGCGGCAAGTAGCAGACCAAACATATTGGACCAGCCAACCATGTACAATGTGAAGTAAGGTTTCATCCTTTCAGGCCAAGGATGTATTCGCACCTGCCAGCATGACGCCACATGCCAGAGTGTTCGCTTCCCCAAAGAGTGGCACGCCTGCCTGACGGCCGGGTAAACAGGCCAGGAGAACTCCATCTCAGGGTTTCTTGCAAGGACAAATGAGAAAATGGATTTTCTACCCTCCCTCGAATTAAAAAAAGGGGGGGAAACATGGACTTTCTACCCTCCAATCATGGACTCGAAGGAAGCGGCCAACGCCGCCCCTTGGCTCACTATGCGCCCTGCTGACTGGAGAGCCCGTGAAGACCGGCGATGTCTGATCCAGAGTGGTGACCTGACACAGCCATCCATCGGCTCGGATTTTTGTGGGAGGGTACACTTCCCTCTTTGGGGTGCTGTAAAAGTGAAGTAGAACTAAGAGACAAAAAATCATTTTGGACATCAGTACATTGTAGAACTTCTTATTTTAGGTCCCTCTTTGAGGCCACGCTTTTGTGGCTTTCCCCATATTCACAAATCCCCCCAATGTGATCGCATCTGCCAAGGAATGCCAACTGGGCGTGCCTGATTTGACCTATAGGCTCCCCAAAAGACAACAGGCATATTCAGCTTGTCGCTCAAAGCAGTGGCCCTGGTTGAGTGTCAAACCGGTTGGGGGTTGCTGCTTCAGCTAATGCTGCGGGTGATGGTCATTGGGCTTGCACTTGCTGTTCTGTTGGCAAGCCAACACGCACCACAAAGTCCTGTCACCTGTCGGAGAGAGAGAGAGAGAGAGGAGCGGAAAAAACAAAAGAGAGCACACAAACTCAGGTAGCGATTCGAAAATACTGGCGAACAGGCACATTTAAGCATAGAATGACGCTGGGAAAGCCGAAAACACCACAACACCCTCGAAAAGCATCATAAGAAACGGCAAAACATTCAGAAACATACAACTCAAAAGTCTGGTTTGGAGAGAACCCTTCACATTGTTTTGGGGGTTTCCTTTGGTTTTCCGCGCGTTTCTTGGACCAAAACACGGGGAGGGCGGGACCTCACCTCACGTCTCTCGCGTCGCAAGCGCAAGCCGCCTGCCCGATGGCCAGGTTCACCGCCGTCATGTGCGCTTGGTCCACCTGATGAGATAGAGAGCCGAGGTGAGAAAATCGGTTTCAGGCGTGGCTTCCCTATCTTGCCTTTCTCAGTTGTTCCGTGACCCTGGAAAAAAGGGAACCCTTTTTTGGGAAGACAATTTTTAGTGGGGCGGCAGGGTTTGTCATGTGGGTATGGGTCAAAATTCATCCACCAGGAAATGGCCCGCAGGTTTTAGTCCTTGGTTCCATTTACCAGGGCTCCATTTAGGGTACCTATTCTTGACCCACGTCCAGTGAAAACGGGTGGCATCCTCCTCCAAACTTCCCAGTGCTGAAAGGAAACCTTCCCAGTCACTTTGGGTGTGGCTCAAAAATGGGATAAAGGCCCAAGCTAGAACCCTGGGACATGGAACCAACAACTAAAAGCCTGTGGTCCGATTCCTGGTGGTTTGATTTTGACCCATACACAAATCGGTTTCAGGCGGGGCTTCCCTATCTTGCATTTGTCTAAGTCCAGTGGAGAAAAAGGAACATATGTCCAGTAGTGATGGATTCCCTTTAATACCAACATTGGAAAATAACATATGGTCCCTATGGATCGCAACCTTCTTCCACTGTGAAGCATCCCCTTTCCTTTCAAGGCGTCTAGGCTCATTCCCCATCTTCCACTTGCTTAAGCCCACTGGAAAAGATGAGAAAAGGTATCCAGTAGTGATAGCGTCGAATTTTAAAACCAACAGGGGAAAATCACACATATTCTCTTCCGCAAATGGAAGCTATGGATCGCAACCAACAATCCGTTTGTTGCAGATGGATACTTGCTGGTTTGGGCTTCCCTTTCAGACCAAAAATGTTCCTTTGCTGATTTGACAAGTCAAAACAGTCCCCACGTAAAGTTGGCACCCATCGTCAAACGTCAGCCCGTTTCACGGAAACTGAATCTTCGTTTGACCCACAAAGCCATGTGACTGGTCAAGCCAGGGCTTTATCCAATATGGGCCCAAGGTTTGGCGCTGCGTCTCCTCTTTAGAGACCCAGCGTGCCATCTAGAAAAAGGCCCGCGGCACTTGCAGAGCCAATTACTGACAGGGTCACATGTCTGCAAGAAAATGATTTGCGATCCTGGTTGGGGATACACGGCCACACATGCATAGCTTGTGTTCAGATCTTGATGCGCAGACGTGGAAAAGCATTTCAGGTATGGTAATGTCGGCCTTCCTCGTGTCTTGGGCTGACAGCAAAAAAGTTACCGACTTCAAGTGGCGCGAAGCGCAACAATGGCTTTCTCAACGTCAGGCTTTACATACGACACTGACAGTTTCTCAGGAACACACCAGCAGTGTGGTCATTTGACTCAGGCACGTTTGTGTTCTGTTGTGGGAATTCCCTGTTTGTTGGTTGAGTTCCTTTCTTCCGGGGCAACACTCTGACCTGATGTCCAAATCACCGGTGTGCTTTTTCCGTGAGCACACAGCACCCCGCAGCATTTGCGGTGGGGCGAAAGTAGACGGCAGAACTTCCTTTCTCGGCGAGTCACGGGGATGTCAACCCAAGATGGGGGCGCTACAACCAAACAAAGAGGGTTTGTAGAAAGGTCCTGATTGCCGCGTGCTTGTCAATCAACTAGCTATGGGGAAACTGTTCAATCTATCTTCACCCAGCTTTTCTGCGTCTGTCTCAACATGGACAACCCCAGCTAGACCACGTTAACAAAAAAGCACACACACAAACACACCTCGACAGCGTACCCATGAAAAAACGAAGAAACACACACACACACACACACACACACACACACACACATGTTTTTGTTCTTTTCGGGGGGGGTGCTGCTCCTAAGCAACTTCTCCGGTTCCTCGCCCTTCGCCCAACCCAAAGGCGCCTTGTTGGGGAGCGTGGGTGCCACAAACGAGGGTGAGGGAGCCGGGGACGGCGCCTGGAGGCTGCCACCGGTTTGAATATGGATGTGGGTGAAAAGTAGGCGCCCCAAATGCAAAGACTAAAACCTGCGTAACCCTGACTCCTTAATCTGATCATGAGCCACACCCATGTGGGTTTGCATTTGTTTGCGGTGGCCGGGCAGGAAGGTTTGAGTGCGGCAAGATTCGCGGGTATGCTTCGTGTTGCAGCAGTAGTAGCCGTAGCAGTAGCAGCATCTTGGCAGTAGCAATAATAGTAGTAGTAGTAGTAGTCGTAGTAGTAGTACTACTACTACTACTACTGCTACTACTACTAGTACTAGTAGCACTAGTAGTACTAGTAGTACTACTAGTACTAGTAGTAGTACTACTAGTACTAGTACTACTACTACTAGTGGTGAGTAGGAGTGGGAGTAGTAGTAGTAGTAGTAGTAGTCGTCGTATTCGGAGTGGGAGTAGTAGTAGTAGTAGCAGAAGTAGTAGTAGTAGTAGTAGTCGTAGTACTAGTGGTAGTGGTAGTAGTAGTCGTCGTAGTAGTAGTGGTAACAGTAGAAGTAACATCAATCCTACTAGCAGTAGTAGTGGTAGGTGGTAGTAGCAGAAGTATCAGTAGTAGGTAGCGCTGGTGAGTAAACAACACAAACGGAATAAGAAAAGTAGCATCTTGCAGCTTACGTGGTATGATTCGGGGTATGTTTCGGGGTATGATTCGCCAAGGTCCCACCTTCTGCGCTTTGAAGCGACTCAACACAACACAAAAAGACAAACCCGTATTTAAAAGACCACAGTCATCTGACTGGGTGGTTTCCTCAAATTTGTTTACAACCTCCCGACAAGAGGCTCCCCTATTTTGAGAACCCATCTAGGTCGGATTAGGCACCCTCCCACCCTTTTCACCCTTTTCCCCCTTTTCACATGGAACCTGATAGGGACCCGGACTCCGGAAAAGGAACATGATCTTCCAGGACCCCCCCCCCTGTCAGGTTCCATGTGGATTGGTGGGAGGGTATTAAGCATTTCTTGGTTTGCCTTTTGGTGTCCAGGTGCAAATGTATGACTCCAGGATTGGGACATCACAATTTGTGCCTCATTCGGGCAAAGCATTTTCAGACACGTTCAAACATCTGGGCAACACATGAGAATTGACCGAGCTGATGAACCAATCTCCAAACAAAGCAGCCCGCATCATGGGCGTGAGGTCGCTGAACCTTGCCCAGCGCCATGCTAATTTGAAGATTCTGGTTGTACCTCATACTGTAACTCATATGGGTGTGGCTCAAATTAAACCGGTCCATGTTTTGCCACTTACCAGGGTTCCATTGTGGTACCGGTTTTGTGAGCCACAGCCATATGGTAGAACATTGTTGCTGGAACCTGCCAAGTTGTAACATCCTCATCGTTCCCCAAAGGGGGTCCATGGCTGGTTCTTTAATCCGATTAGTGTGAGGGGAGAAAGGGATGGCAGCTGCCTGCTGCTCTTCAGTGTGCCGAAAGACTTGCAACCATACTTTCCCGAGACCTGCAAGGACCAGCAACTGGGGAAGCGAGGATATTGAACGTCTTTGTCATGAGAACGCGCAAGAGCATGATTGAATAAGCCTGCTAGAGCTCATCAGCAGGAGATATCCATCTGCTGTTTGTCCATGGAACGTTCAATAGATTCCAACCCCATCAAAAAGCGCTATGCATCCGGAAAAGGCCAACGACGAATCCCACCAAATATCCCCCTCTCAGCTTGAACATGAAGGCTGCAAGCTGAAACTCAACCCAGCACATCTGCCAGAAATCGAGTCCTGCCTGATTCACCCAATCGTCCTGCGCGAAGCACCACACGTAGTAGAAGTAACTGAGTCGCGGCCGGCTTGCGCTCCAGAGGCAGCCACTGAACCCAATTGTCCAGTTGTTCAAGCGAACACTGTTGGGGTTGACCAATGTGGGCAGCCACCAGGCAACAAAAAAATGGACAATTAGCGGAATCCACAGAACGTGAATCTTGGCACCTCGAAAGTTGTGATTCTAGTTTGGGGCGAACTTCAAGCATTGGTTGGCTTTAAACACCAAGTGTGGTAGGCAGGAAATCAGGGAATGGCCACTATGAACCATCCCCTGTCCTTTCCGGGCATCTCTAGGCTCATTCCTAATCTTCCATTTGCTGAAGCCCCCCGGAAGAAATGAACATATGTTCAGTAGTGATAAATTCCCTTCAACAACCAACAAGGGAAAATAAAAGATACTCATTTCAGCAAGTGCAAGCCATATTGTTGGAGGTTCCCTGTCCATTCAGCGAGCGTATGACCGGGGCGCCGCACTTTCCCACCATGGCCTCTCCAGCCTTGGAACGTCGATTTGAGGGGCGGACCGCTGAAAGCGCGCCGGTGTTAACTTGGCCAAAGAATGGCTTGCTGATAAAAGGTTTACCCGGTATGGTGAAAAACCATAGTCATATGACTGGGTGTTTTCCTGAAAATTGTTTAAAACCTCTCGAAAAGGGGTCCCCTATTTTGAGAACCCATCTAGGTCGGATTTAACTTGGTGTAGCCCCTCCTAATTTGGGGGTTATTAGGTTTATGGTCCCAAGCTGAGATGGCGTGGTCTCCGGAGAAAATGTGACGGTCAAACTGGTCGCAGGCCGGAAACCTGTTCCAGCAACAGGCTAAACAGATGGCCGTCCGAAGCGACTTCTAGGCTGATACCCTTCCAAACGCAAGGGTGTAGAGTTGAATCAGGGACATATGGGCATTAAATAACAAAATTGCAATGTTATGGTAGCAAACACAACTCCATGTTTGTGTGCGGACGATTCAAAATGGAGTTTGAAACAATACATTCACAGCTTCCGAGGCGATATTCCTGTGTGATTCCGGCAGCCTGCTTAGATGGAGGGAAACTAATGACAAAGAAGCCAGCATTTATGGGGGCTGCAAAGTTTCGCGTTACAGGACAATCTCTAGACATGGTTGTCAGAACCCAACCCCCAGATTCCTAGTAGATTATCCTGGCCAATACTTGAGCGTCGCCTGCGATCTCTTGACACCGCCGTCGCCTTGCACGCTGTCATTCCGGTTTCCATGCCACCCAGGGCAACTACCACTCTAACCGCGTCTACCCGATTCTTATCTAAAGAGCAATACAACTGGTTGCCAGCTATAGTGGTAACCGGGACCTGCTCTGACTCACATCAGTCCAAGCTGCACTACATTCTGCAGGAAAACCTTGTGAACTTGGGAGATCCAGTGACTCTTTAGCGCTGCATTCAGCAAAATGCTCACCTTTATTGGGATCCACTTTTCAAGCCGCCGCAAAATGATGGGTCCCACCCATCCCATGCTGGATGCAACTAGGAATCATCCTTTGTTCCTTCTCGCCTGTGATTCAATTGTCCCATTGGTAGGGGCCGTGCGTTTGCTGCACAGCATTCAACACAGCCACTGAAACTACCTGGCCCTGAGCAAAACCTGCTGCCCGAAACAATATGTCACATTCTCATGATTTGTTTCACTTTCAAGCGCGCGCACACACACACACACACATTGGATGACCTCGATTTCGAAACAAACTCTCTCTCACACAGACACACGCGCACGCGCGGTCTGGGGTCATGACCACTGTAGCCGTGATCTTTTCGATGCGAGTCATGTCAATATCGAAGTCCTGGCAGGGGGCAAACAATGACTTGGCTTGCCATAGGGGGATGCCCTACATTTGGGCACCTGCACAAATACTCTTCCAAACTTCGAACCCTAGCAAAAACAATGTGTTGGTGGGTGAAACGGAACTTCCACAAAAACAAAGCCTGGGCAAGAAGTGACAAAAAGGGAAAGACTTCGTCTGGTGGGTGAAAGGGAGCAGTCCGGTTCAACTTCTATCAAGTTGACATCGTAGCACAAAGGTTGTGTCACCTGCTTACCTTCATGCTTATTGTTCTGAACATGAACCAACGACAGGGTTCCCAATCGGAAGAAATTCCCGTCGTCCCTTTTCCGGGCGATATCGGCAGTCAATCGTTGGGCTGTCCACAAAAACGGTGAAGCTGGCCACCGCATGAGCACGTCCGACAGCTAAAATGTCGAACTTGTCCAATATCAGCTTGCCCTTGACTGGCGGTTTGAAGGTTAGGTGGTACCTTCCCAAGACCGGCTTTGATAGCCAGGATGTCACAGTTCCACTGACCAGAGTCATGACCAGAGTCATTGGGTTGTCATTCAACAAAAGCTATAAGTTCCAAGACTCAAACCCATGGCTGAAGTCTACGTTGGTTTGAACAGTAAACGGGGGTTCAAATCCCGAAACCAACTCCAACCACAAATTGACTTGGAACCTGACAATAAGTTCGCAAGGATGGGCAAGACCAGCCGAAACTGGCAACACTAGGCGGCTAGCCGGTGGTAAGCCCTTCTCCCCGTTTTGAATGTTAAAAGTTCATGGGGACCATCTGCGAAGGAGCCGGACATTTCGGTGGCAAGCCTTTCGAGAACTGGGCCGAGCCTTCCCTGGACTCCCTGGGCCACCCTGAGAACCAGCCACCTCAAGCCACAAATCAAGGAAAGACGCTTCTTTTTGTTCCTGCTTCTTTGCCCCCCCCCCCCCCCCCCCCGTTTTTTGCCGTCTCCAGGCGTCGGAGAACAAAAATCGAAGCCCTCCGCCTGGTAAGGCGTGTGGACCTCCGCCATGAAGCGAGTGGAGTCCGCCGTGCCGCGATCAACTCCTTTCGACTCGCTTCAGCCGATGGCTAGGTCCTCCAGTACAGAGGTGAAGATAAGGGTGCCCGATTTTTTCCTGTAGTCAATTTGAGTACGGGAACCCTCCCCCAAAAAAGAAACGGTAAAAGGGCACTGGGGGATCTAAATGGGTGTGTCATGCGTAAGGTTGGACCCCACAAAATGGATGTCGGCGTTCCCATTGGTTTTCCTTTACCACGAAACAGCTCAATCACAAAACACACGCATGTGAGATCTATGAAAATCTTTGATATCCTGGGCGACCAAGAGCTAAAGAGCCTCTTCCACCGCATTTGATTGCTGATGCACATACGGCTCCTCACGTCCTGTCGTGCCGTGCAATCCGCTTCTCATTATACTGTGAAAATGGATGGTGCGGTCTCGGGAAGTTGCAGGGGACCTCGACCAACATGGGAGATTCTGCCATCTGCTTCAACCCATGGTCGCGGAAAATCACCCTTTTCTGTGATACCAAAGTCGGATATCCCCAAGACTACTTTCTCACTTTCAAGGGCATTTTCTTGGTATCACAGAAGGAAGCCCTAAAGCCGCTTTTTTCTATTGCCATGAATCCTTGTCTTTGTCTAAACTCCCTTAAAGAAACGGATCCATGACCATCCAGAGCAACCCCAACCACGGTGGCTATAGGTTCCGAGCATGAACTTTCGCCCAACTTGGAAAAAAACAAACGCGCGCCTTGAATCCAGGTCTCGTAGTAGCAGGGGTCCGAGCTCGTCCTCACTCACGGGGGACACCAAAATGGCGTCACCCCAAAATGGGTCCACAGTGACATGGCCATGGGTCAAAATCCCGTACCCCCGGTGAACATCCCGATCCCCGCTAAAATATATAGACTAAAATGGGTGGTGCACCTACCCCAAAACGCTATTGGTTTTAACCCACAGCCACATCCTGCAAACAAAATCCTCTGGATGATTCCTTTCAGCGTTCAGGATAAATCAATCACATCACTTTTGGTGGGTTAAATGGACACCCAACCACAAAGCCCACCAAAAACCGCTAAAAACCTAAGGAACCGGACGATTCGCAGGGAACCGCCAAGTCTAAATCCCTCTAAATTCCAGTGGTTAAAGACATCCTAAATTGATTAACAGCCCTCCGCAGGCGCCACAAACCTTGTGTCCCCCCTCGCAGTGGGTGTGTCGTGTTTAAGCTTGGACAACCAACATGGATCTCGTTTTTTCCGGCTGATTTCCGTGTAAGCCAAAAGAAGCTAATTCCACCCTCAAAACCCTTTCCAAGTGGCCCATAGCTCCTGCTTGCTCCAAACAACGGCAAACAAACCTCAACAAACGACACCAATTGGCTTTTGCACTGCTCACAAAACACAGCCCGAGGGACAGCCAGTCGATGGCGCTGTTCTGGCAGTAGCGCCCCGCGAACGCGGAGGCATCCTGGCGAAAGCTGGCGCCGAGTTGGCGGCGCTCAAAACGAGTTGCGAATGGACAATATGCCCCTGTCGGGATGGATGAACAAGTGGTGCAGGAGTTTATGAGGGCTAAACTTGTGGAAGCACCTGACGCTTTGTGAATGTTCAACTTCGAATCTAACCACTACAAGGCTAACATGCAAGAAGCTTGTACCTGCAAGCTGCTCAACTCTAAATTTATAGAGTTCAACCCTCTCATTCTCGGTGTTAGCTCGTGAGTTTCATGGTTTCACCTCCCAAAATCACAAGTGTTTGGGCTCCATTGATGACCACACGTATGCGTCCGATTGGGGCCTCTTCTGTGACACCAGCAACTGTGCTGATTTGGAGAGGTGTTTAGTGACACACATGCAAGGCCCTCATTGTAGCCTCACCACAGAAAAACATGCTCCATACTGGGCCTCCACACTTTCGCTATACATGGGGTCTCCAAGCCTCATTACTCGCAGTGAGGCAGCCAGAGAGGCGGGTAGCAAAGCTTTCTCTTGGGTGTCAAAGCTTCAAACCAGGGGTTGGTATTACCTCAAAGAACAAACGCATCCAGAAGGCACACCCGACCTGGTACCTCACGATCAGGGCCATGGTTTGAATCCCGAATCCTCACCCAAAATCCTACCAACCTCAAGGAAAGGAACCGGCATTTTGGCCATGGCACGTAGGGGTTTTGTTTCAATTTCCTTTCGGTTTCCCTTGGGATGTCAACCAAAAGGGAGATCCGAATCCCATTCTGCGCAACATGGCTGGAACCCGGCCTGATCGGCCACCTGGCACCACACAGTGCCCGGCCTCGGCTCAAAAGAGGTGGGGGCAAGTGACGTGCACCACGTCTCCAGAGAAAAATACGGCTGTGGGTCAAAAATGGGTATCCATTTTGGAACCCCAGTAAATGGAACCAAGGACTAAAACCTGCGGTCTTGTGCTTTAATTTTGACCCATACCCATATGGCACTTCAGGAGCTCTGGAAGAGGCCAATTCCTATGAAACTCAAAACCGATGAGTTGATGTTTGTGAAATATGGACCAATGTCTACAGCGTATCGGAACCCTTTTTTTTTCCATTCGCGAGCTTGTTTTTACAAAGTGCAGTTGTAAACGGCCACTCCTTGCGAGACCCCTGGGTTTGGGTCCCAATCCAACCAATTCGCATCTGGCAAAACCAAAAAAAAAGGAACCGGAGCATTTGTGGGGGCTATGGTGGGTTTCTCGTTGGCATGCGTTCAGACCCAGGAGGCCTGCTCTTTGGGCACACACACCCGGAAGGGGCCGTTCCTTTTGTTTGGTTCACTTGCAAACAGGATTGGGCCAACCCCCCAATTAGATGTCTGAAACCTGAATTTGTTCCAACACCTTTGGTTCAATTAACCTCCCTTTGCTTTCACGAAGCCAGGGTCTAGTAACTCATGCGACCAGGAACATAGACACCTCCCAAAATGTGGGCCATACTCTGGGCTGTCTTCAGATCCCCTTGCTAAAAACATAACTTTCAGTGGGCAAAATTTGCGGAACCCCCACCACCAAACCATCCAAAAATCCTCGAAAACAAGCTAAGGATCCAGACTGGTTAAACCACCAGCCAGATAGCCAAGTTGCTGCCTTTTTCAGTCACTATTGCTGGTTGTGGGGGGTAAAGTGCATATAGATACAAAAAAAACAAAAAGACGCAACCGGAAGGACCTCCTTTTGCCGCGATTTCGATTTCGATTTCGATCGAGGGCCCGGCTCGCTGAGCTGCAGCGTGACTTGGATGATGGACTCCCCCAGGGCCTCCCAAAGGCGCGCGCAAAATGCGCGCGCTCGCCGCGTGGGACCGGGGCCCGTGCCACATGAAATCTGCGGGATCCCCAGCGCTTGCACCGACAGAGCGGATGTGTTTGTTGCTTTTTGTTGGCCGGAAGGATGCCATTCAAGTCAGAACCCATAAGGTCACACAACAAGTGGTGCTGTGCGACGTACGCGCTTTTGCGTTGTCATTGAGATGAGCAGCGACTTGTGTAATGTCCAAATGGGATTAGTAAAGGGGGACCCCCCCACCCTCAACGATGGGGGTATCTAGACTAGTATCTTGAGATCCAGGTGAAGTGAGTTTCCATTTGAATTAGTATTGGTAGACTTGAGTTTCCATTTGATTTAGTATTGCTGGAGCTTCCTTTCGAGATTTGGAACTGAGTTTCCATTTGGTTTAGTATTGGTAACTTGAGTTTCCATTTGATTTAGTATTGCTGGAGCTTCCTTTTGAGATTTGGAATTGAGTTTCCATTTGGTTTAGTATTGGTAGACTTGAGTTTCCATTTGATTTAGTATTGCTGGAGCTTCCTTTCGAGATTTGGAATTGAGTTTCCATTTGATTTAGTATTGGTAGACTTGAGTTTCCATTTGATTTAGTATTGCTGGAGCTTCCTTTTGAGATTTGGAACTGAGTTTCCATTTGGTTTAGTATTGGTAGACTTGAGTTTCCATTTGATTTAGTATTGCTGGAGCTTCCTTTTGAGATTTGGAACTGAGTTTCCATTTGGTTTAGTATTGGTAGACTTGAGTTTCCATTTGATTTAGTATTGCTGGAGCTTCCTTTCGAGATTTGGAATTGAGTTTCCATTTGAACTAGTATTGGTAACTTGAGTTTCCATTTGATTTAGTATTGCTGGAGCTTCCTTTTGAGATTTGGAACTGAGTTTCCATTTGGTTTAGTATTGGTAGACTTGAGTTTCCATTTGATTTAGTATTGCTGGAGCTTCCTTTCGAGATTTGGAATTGAGTTTCCATTTGATTTAGTATTGGTAGACTTGAGTTTCCATTTGATTTAGTATTGCTGGAGCTTCCTTTTGTGTTTCTTGGGGGGGCCAGGCAACAAGACTTTATTTCGGGGGCCGCTGAAATAATGTGAAGTTGGGGGATGAAGTACAACACCTTTTGTGGGTTTGATTGTTTGCAGGTTTTAAACAAGAGACATGTAAGAAAACACTGGATTGGTAAAGCCGACAATTTTGGATTTGAGGAGCAGGCCCAAGTCTAACAACACAGCATGAAGCACTGCCAGCCTCACCTAGGCTGTCTAATTACTTGACTAGCTAAGAGGCAATTGCACTGGGCAGGTTGTATTTTTCAGGGGGCCAGGCAACAAGACTTTCTTTCGGGGGCCCCTGAAATAATGTCAAGTTGGGGGCTGAAGTACTACCCCCTTTGTGGGTTTGATTGTGGGCAGGTTTTAAACAAGAGACAGGTAAGAAAACATGGGTTTGGTAAAGCTGACAGTTTTGGATTTAAGGAACAAGGTACCCAAGATCCAAGGACCAGGTGTTGGCTTGGCTATCTCTCCTCTCCTTTATCTCTGTTTCTTCCTCGCTTTTTTTTTTCTCTGGCGCGGGTGGCGGGTGCTTGTCTTTACTCCAGGTGCATTTATTAATCTGTTTGGGCCCCCCATTTGTCTTTATTACGCGTGCATGTGTTAATCCCATTTGGACATTATCTCAGCTGGAAGTCAAATGGCTGGAACCTCGGATGTGTCATCAAATCGCCCGCCATGTCGCGGCTCGTGAGGATCAGCAATTGGTTCACAGCCAGTCGCCTGCTTTCGGCAAAGGACGCTTACCTCATGACCCTTAGGCAATGTGAAGTGGACTCCCAGGCACACCAGCGATTGATGGCATTCCAAATAATATACCCATACAACTGGGAAGCAGATACCTTAGACAAAAATGTGTTCAGCCACGTATTTAGCCAGGGTTGCTCGCTCACACAGTAGCTCCCAGTGAGAAATCCTCGAGGCCTGGTGAAGCACAGCTTGAGAGCTTCACCCAGCCTGTTGAACATTTGTGGACTGCCGAAACAGGGCGACACTGAAGAACTCGATCCTTCTGACTTTGACCGCAGAGTTTGGGTGGTTTCAACTCCAGCCGGCCCTTATGAAGGACTCCAGCCCAAAGAAGCTTCACATTCAAAAAAGCAACCTGCCCCAATGATACCGGGTTGCAACGACTCACCCTGCACGGCGATTCCATGGAGTTGTAACCTCAGCACCTCCCCGCTCCCCGCCTCGCGGGCCACCACGATGATGGAGGGAGCTGTGGAGTCTGTGACCCAAACGTTCTGCGTGAGGCCTGCGTGAAGTGGGGCCAATGAGAAGCACATTGTGCGCCCGCCCGTTCACTGGACCCGGCACTCCAAATGTACGCCGTGTCCATTGATCGTTCCATGAACAAATGTATCACAAAGTGAAACAGGGTGCTTTGGTTTCCAAAAAAAATGCATATTTTTATTGCTCAACCTGCCCTGCACTGATCCTCGGGATGGTCAGCCGGTCAGCCCAGCTCAAGTAATACGGCGGGGTAGCTACTCCATCTCCGGCCTCCAGCAGGGGCATTGACCTCGGAAAAAAAGCGATGTCAAGTTGAATCAGCCTTGGTGAATATTCGCTTCATTGTGAGTAGCCCTAGTAGTGCTGCTGACATGCGAAGGAGAGCCGGCTGAATTCTCTCGGTGCGACGCGTGCAAATTTGACGTGCTGACATAGCTTTCTTCCGGGCTCTCACCGACAAGTGGCCCAAGTGGCTTCAGGGAATCGATAACACATGCCCAAAGATGCCAACATCCCATATCGACACATTACCACACATGGACCAAAACTCAGACAGCCAAAGGTCACAGGGTCAACATGTGAGCTTTGGGCGAAAGCAGGTTCCTTAGTTACCCGCACACATGTCTCAAAGTCCCAAATGGGCAAGCCACTCACATGCAGGTGCATCTGGGCTTGATTGATCCGATCTGACCTTCGAACCAAGCAAACCTCCGAAAACAATGATTTATCAACATGTCCAAAGACTCTTCCTCCTGTGCACCAAAGCTTTTTGGCCTGCACTTCGGGTTTCGGACATGGAGAGCAGTCGAGGGAACTGGACAGGCCAAATCCACCATTCTCTGACATTGCACCGGCATTCAGCAAGCACTGCACAACTGCCTGATATGGCAAGCATGCGCGTCCGCGCTCTCAGTCGCATGCCTGACTGCACACCCGTAAAATGTCGACTGTGGCTGCTTGTGTGTGTTTAGTGGCACTATGCAGGACCACCGTAGCTTGTGCATGTCAGGTCAAGCACTAGCAGCAGCAGCCCTGCACCCGGACATGACCACAGCCCCCCAAAAGCACTTACAAAGAACACGTATACAGGTTTGCTTGTGTCACTGAGGCAAGATGCCACGCTTGTTCTAAACCCAGGGAATCTCGTGACGGAAATGATGTTTTGTTTTCTGGATTTCTCTTGTTTTGCCTTAGCAAAACACACATTCTGGTGACTCACGCTGGAGCATCGCACACGTTTTGACGGGCGCGCGCATTGTGGTAAGTGCAAAAACCCACGCGCCGCGTGCGTTTGGCTGCACCGTGAGCGCGTTGACGTGCAATTTGGCCGCGCCGGTTATCGGTCCGGCGGGCAGTTTTTGGTGATCCTAAATGGGCTCCACTCTTTTCGGATGCTCGGGACTGTTGCAAGCTGGAATCTTAAGAGAGAACATCCTTGGATGGGTACGCCCCAAGTCATATACTTGAGACCTGGCCGCAGCGCTTAGCCTCGGGATGAGAAACAGATGAACTGGCTTTGCGTGAAGCTGCCCAGCAGCACCAACAGGATGGACTTTCAAAAACGGCTTTCAAAAATCGCGTGTCTCAGAAAATCTGCTTGGCAGCGACACGGGGGTGTTCCCTTCAAATCCTCACCAGCTGGAGACTAAAACACTAGCCAGGCCTCCTGGGTGGGCTGTGGGAGGCTATGACATAATGTCTTAAGCCTTTATCATGGAGTTATTCTTGGCGTATCCTAAGCTCATCCAAGCACAGCCCCACTCTCAATAGTGGTTCTTGTAGGTGAACGACAAACTGGAAAGCCCTGGATGGTTCCTTCATGTTCCTTTGCTGTGCCTGTAGACCCCCGAAAAAGGGTGCCATCTTTTGGGATTGGTTTGGACTGGTTTGGACTAAAGCACATGCCAAGGACAGGGTTGATTGCCAACTAAACGCCAGGACCTCAGCTAGGCAATGACGGCAAACTTGGTATTGACAGCCTAGACACCAAAAAAACACCAAAAAATACAACATGGGATGCAGTACAATGCGGCGTCACTCTTCGGTTTCTTGGCAGGGAGATACCCAACAGCTCGAATTGTTGAGATTCTTGCTGCCCCATTCTCTTCCCGTATCCTTCTCTTGACATGAAAATGGGTGGCTACAGGGAAGGATGGGTGAACGGGCAGGGGAATCAACCCTTATGGGACGCAAAGAAACCGGCAAAAGATGGGATCAAAAGAAGGAGGGCCCAATTCCGGGGGCCCTGCGCACTGTGTCTTTTTGTTGCCTTACTACCTTACGGCTGACCCTTCCGCAAACCCCAACGCTTGAAAACCATCCTTTTTTCGGGATTCACAGCAAGCCAAGGAGCCTTTGCCTACTAAAAGCCACGTGTTTTTCCAGCCAGTGCGCTTCAGGCGCCAGAACGCAGCACCTGAATTAAGTCATTGCTGGTTAGACTGATGGCCCCGAGGAACAGGGCGAGGAGTAAGCGACGAGAGCATATATTTCGGTTACCCAGCGGTTGACCTCATGATCTTTCTTTTTTCAGCGCCCGAGCCTTCCATTTCCTGGCTGAAGAATTGCTAACTAATTGGACACATGATTAACTTGTGATCATCACTAACTAACTCGGTCTTACAGTACCCTGATTCCCATGGTACGTTAGTATTAACCTCATAGTGACTCATAGACTCATAGTGTACTCATAGTACCTCGTAGATGCCTTCATGCGATAGCCAGCCGAGTTCCACCCGACTTGGCACCCTGGCGTTGACGCCCACGGGAGTTTCGACATAGCTCTGAGACATGTAGTTGGGCCGCGCAAAGCCATGGGTATCCACCTAGGCAGGCAAGGTCAGGAGGCTGTTGGGTTAGAGGGAAAAATCGATGGCACTGGCGAAATGATCGGAACCACACTGAAACCAGTGGAGGCCGATGCTCAACCAATCTGGTTTTAAAGGCCACCTGTGCCTATAATCAAGGTTTTTCCTGTGCACCCTGGCATTGCGCCCGGGGAATCACCCAATCCTAGCCTATGTTCGGATAAAACCTGGCTATGTTTGGCTTACTTGGACATATTGAGCCATAATATTGGATAATTTCCCGTCATCCCAGGGTGGAACGGGAAAAGTCATTCGAGCGATGCTCCCAAGATCGGATCCCAAGTGCGTGGGCGCCCTCCCAGACGTTCGTTAAAATGCAGCTCTGCGAGCCAAGCAAACAGGGATCCAAGACTATCCTGCACAGCCGGTTCAAAGAAGCTCGTTCCCCCAACAAATTTCCAAAAGCTCGATTCTGTTTGTTTTGAGTTCACAAAGTCTGGGTCCAAGAAATTTGAGCAAAAATACTAAGCTGTGGTGGAAACTGAGCGGTACCCGAAACCGATTTCGTGTTTGTTCAATCACGGCGAGTGGAATTCCCGACTCAAACAAGCGAGTGGAATTCGGTTCCGAGTCTCAATCTAGGGATCCAGGGAAGCTTGTGCTGGCTTCCAGGAGGGAATAACCCTCTAATTATAAACCAGCCGAGTTCAGTCCCAAACTCCCGAAAAGTCGACTCCCTACTGAGAACCAGCAAGATAAGTTACCGCCATTACCAGAAGTGTTTGCGGCCGCAACTGGGATCTGGGGCTCCCGACCGCGCTATCCTTGGCCCAGCAGTAGATGTCATACTGCGAGGCTTCGTAGATGATGCTGTCACAGGCGCTCGGCTGACCCCGGACCCGAACTGAGGCTCTGAAGTAGGCTGAACCAAAGAGACACATCATCTCACACGAAACACAAAGGGGTCGGGTGAAATTCCTGTGCTTCCCGCTATCTATGACTGTTTCCTTGCCTCAAGGGACAGGGCACTTAAGTGGTGAGCAACCATGAATGTGAAGCACCAACTATCAACTATTCTAACTATGATTTCTACTACGTACCGTGCCTCTTCAAGACCCAACACATAAGTCGCCCAGTGTAAGAACAAGCCACAGCAGCCATGGTAAGAGCGTTCTTTCAAGCTTGATACCCTTATTCACACGGAGGCGGACCTCCAAAACAGCACACGCTGCATTATGCTTCACCTGGGAGGACAGCGGTGTAGCATGTCGGTTTAATTTGTTGTTTTCGTTCGTTTTCCTGCCTGTCCCCAATTGACACTGTGCTGCGGCATGTGAAGCTATGATGAGAGCTGGCACTGTGGCTGAAAGGGCGTGATCCAGTCCAACTCACCTGGCAAAAACAAGAACAACACCGCAAACTCCGAGGAGTCACACAGAAATATGTTCTTGACAGGAAACCAACGTTGCAGCAAGGGTTCCAGACCAGCATCTTCCTCTTCAATGCGACGGTCACAATGGACCCAACAAAAGGAATGAAGGATTGCCCGATCCAAATAAATTTGAGCGGCGACCCCTGCACTCGCTTGCTCTTTCAGCCGAATGAAGAACCAGGTGGCAAATGCTGCATTCGAAAACCTATTGTCACACATCGTCGATGCTTTGTGCTCAGCCCTGATTCATTAACAGCTGGCTGATAGAATTAGATGTCTTCCAGGCCGAATGGCATGAACACCTCTAACCAACCAAGCTCATCCCATCAGTGACCCAGTTCGAGCCCGCGGAAACATCCAATATCCAGCGTTTTCTCCCAAACGAGGGCGCCGTGAGCCTGGCCCCCAACGATCCGCACCCGCCAGGCTCCAAAAGCGCCTGGTGGGATCTCGCCGTTCCAAGCTGGTGATGGTAATGGTACCCGTCTCCGTCACTGGGTCGATGATCTCCTGGCGAATCCCGCGAATCAGCCGGGCCGGGGGGGGGGGAAGGGGGGAAGTGGCTGGGGTGAGGAAGGAGCAGGGAAGAGGGAGGATTCCAAGCCCAAGGCTACTTCACAGTAGGTTTAAGGCGACTCTATGATACTCTATGGAATTCCTGCAACGTCCATGCTGACAGCATCTTGGCCGCAGGTCATATCTTTCTTCGTACGTGGGCTTCAATGTTGCTGCCATGACAAATACACAAGCTTCTCACTCAAGCAACTACAGCAACAGGAGCCAATTGAGGTCACATTCCAAGGATGCGCACACAGGGTCCAAAACCAGCGCCGTAACAAAATGATGACACTCTTTATAGTAGGGGTTTTGAATACTGTCACAATGCCAGCATCACGCGGCACATGTGAACAATCCTCACACGCATATGTTTTTTAGCGCGGCGGACCGTATCAGAAAGCTACACGCACGTTCTGTAGCTCTAGCTATCGACAATGAGATTGGCTCAGGCCCTAGCTCTGTTGGGTCAGCTCAGGTTGGAGCGAATCCAAAGCTACAAAGTTCGCAATGGTGATGCGCGAAGGAAGTCAGCGTAAGCTGCCTTGTCATCGGGCCGAAGCTCCGCTTCTAAGAAGTACACGTCGATGAAGAATGCCCCGGCACTCTGGAGAACTGCTTTGGAAATTCGAAAGAAGCCACCATCTGCAAATTCATCTCCCCTAATCTTCCATGCTTCATTGTCATGACCAACAATCACCGCACCGTGGCCAGACTTGATATTATCCTTCTTGTTTGCAGGCAACTCTCGCAACACTGCTGATGGCGACTTCTTAAAGAAGGAGCTGAAGCTCTTCCATTGCTCATCATCAAGCGCGAAGGAAACATAGATCGCGCGACCCAAGTCTAAAGCAGCTGCTGCAGCTACCGCATCTGTGGTCGAATGGCATCGCAGGCACCTGCTTTTACATTCCTGTTCAATCATGTTGAGCACAGTTTGTGAAGGAGCACCATCTGTCCCATGACCGGAAACAAAACGTTGCGCCATGACATGGTGCTTCTCGAGACGCCTCCCGACAATGCGGCGTTCAGCAGCTCGGATGATTGTTGCTGACGCCTGTGCATAGCAGGTGCCTGTGTGTGCATGATCCAGAATATCTGCAAAATCTCTCTGGCTGTGAACTTCATCCGACACTCTGGCAAGCTCAAACGAGAAAGTAGTGTGGGAGGCCACTGGAGGCATTCCGATGTCAATCACAGTCTCTGGCTTTTTCCAGCGCCGGCAAATTTTATTACATTGGTGTGATCTGAAAAATGCATTGATTCCTCTTGGACCCAAATCAGTCTGTCCAAACCGCTGCCTTCCTGCTGAACAATGGATAGCAGGGTCCGTGAACTTCCAGCAACCCACTCCATCCAGCTCGCTGTGAACTCCTTGTAGGTCACAAATCAGAAGCTCGGCTTCTGTCACCCACCATGTCCAGTGAGAAAAGGCCTGAGCGACTTCAAGATACTTGTCGCCCCGTCTGGCAAAACCATTGTTGCAGTTGGCTTTGATGAAGTCGCCCTCCAATTCGGGCTCGACACAGACTCTGTCGCCCTTTTCAATCTTCATCTGTACTGTAGCACTGCGCGCTTGGGCTCTTTTCCGACAAACTCCGTCGTAAACTTTAGCCTCCTGTGATACTTGGTAGAGAAACGCACTGGCAAATTGGATCTTGATTTGGGCTGACACTGTACGATTGAAGCGTTCAGCCATGTCGCGTGCTCGATCCAGCACCTGTAAGTCATTATGCCACTCACCGGCATGCTTTGCATGCGAGCGCTTAAATGTTTTAACTATGCATGGGTAGTAGGGACGCCCAGTGAAGATTGCCTTTCTCTGGGTCCAGCACGAGCTCATATTCATGACCCATTTGCTTGCACTGTCGCGCTCCCTGAGCAGCTTCATCCACAAACACCTTGCCCTTGAAGGCCAAGCGGAACTTGCCTGCATCAAATGGTTCTGCATCGAACTCCACCATTTTCATATTGAAATCTCGAGCTGAAAATACCCGATCGTTGAACTCATATGTGAAAGGCATGCCCCGGGCAGGGACTTGATTCCCCATGGCTGGAGTGGCAGTGCAATCAACTAGTCGCGGTGCCTTGAGCCTTGAGAAATGATACACCGACAGACATTGATAACACTGCTTTGCTTACAAGATGTATGGATACCCGGACAAACAAATGACAAACACAACGACATTCAGGATAATTGCCATACATCCAGTACGGTACGCCTTCTTCCCGCAAATGCCGGTGATTTCCTGTATATTAGGGCTCAATGATACTCGCAGCCCTGCATGGTTTGTCGCCAGGACATGTTTGTGCAAGAGTGCCATGCCACAGAAAATGTATGTAGGTGTGTGTCCAAATCCGAACCCCCCAAAATGGCAGCGGTTTTCGTTTTGGTGTCCTGTTGAAGCAACCCAAAAAGGGATCCCTCAAAAAGAGACACGCATGTGGTGGAGTGCAATAGCATAAAATCTGGTCTGCCCCTAAAGTCAACTCAACACCCGTTCTCCTGCGAGAAGTCCGCCGACAGGATTTGGTTGATGTGCAGTGTGGGCTCTGCCGAATCGCTCCTTGCAGAAGAACCTACCCGGGCAAAAAGCTGCAAGTGTTCGACTAAGCGATCTGTCTATGTACGGCCAAGTAGTTCGTGAGACAGACTGACAAAACGCCTGGGCAAAAACAAAGAAGCAAGTTGTCAACCGACCTGTCTGCCTATGTGGCCAAGCAGTTGCTGAAGCCACCTGGCAAAGCCTCAGGGCAACTGCACAAAATAAATTGCCACTTAACCAAGAATCACACATATCCTGATGCAACAATGCTCACCCAAGAGGTGAACCTTGAACTCCGAACCCAAAACAACATCATGTGCCTCGGCAGGGGCTGCGTTCAGTAGCATTTGACAATACCATCGTAATCCAGACTCATGGAAGCCGATGTCAATATCCAGTGCGTTCCAAGTTGTCATGACACATCTGGTGAGTAAGCCGCCATACCCTTACTAAGAAACTGATCATGATGATGATGATGGTGATGATGATGATGATGATGATGATGATGATGATGATGATGATGATGATGATGATGATGCCGATGCCGATGCCGATGCCGATGCCGATGATGATGATGATGATGATGATGATGATGATGATGATGATGATGATGATGATGATGATGATGATGTTGATAATAATAATGATGATGATGATGATGATGTTTCAACGTATCTACAGATTGGCGAGAAAACATCTGCATCAACAAAGCAGGCAAATAAAAGCAAACACACATTACTGCGGGCAACACTAACGCTCTATCGCCTAGGTGTATGACATAAAAACGGGTCAATAAGGCTAGCAATGTCAGTAACATTTAGTGCAACGGCTCATGGGCCTGAACTGGAGAATCCGCAAACAGGACATTCGAAATGTCATCCGATCGGCTTTAGAGTAATCCAGGCCTGGATCTTTCAGGTCTATTCCTAAGGACATGAAACCCTGCCCCCGTCACAGGTTTCTGTTGGTCCTCTCTAACAACATCTCCTCCCCCCCCCCCCCTCCCTCCCAACAAAAAAACAACTTCTCTCAAAACATTGACATCTCTTCCCCCCCCCCCAACACAAAATGCCTCTCCTGTGTTGCCCCATTTGTTTCTCCCGTTCCGTTTTCAGCGCCGCTGAAGGCTCCTCTTGGTGCGGCAGTATGCAGTGCCAGCCTGGCGCAAGAAGGAGGTCTTTGCTCCGGGCTCCCTACACTTCCCTTCAAACATTACCCTTACCACAGGAAACTCATGTAACGTGGGCCCACAAGGTGATGTGCAAAACCACCAACAAGGGAAATATAGAGAGCCTTGTTGCTACCTCCATGAACCAAAGCAACGCACGCCAGCCCCAACCACTTGTTGGACAGTACTTGGTGTGTTTGAGATGTTGGACATTGCAAAAAGCAGGCAAGTGAGGGGTACTGCCGTGTCTGTGTTGGTTTGCTCCTTTCCTTTTCAGGTTGGTATAAAGGGACGATTTCGGGGTGCCGCCCCCCCCCCCCCACCGATTCATGAAGGATGAAGGCTCCGCCAAGGTGATCTTGTAAACGGGCCTTGGGGCGGGGGGCTATGGTCGTGCGGATTTCCAGCACTTCAAGAAATGAATACACCACTTACAAACCACCTTCCTAAGTGCCAACCAAGACGGGATATTCTGGGGGAAACACTTTGTATTGGGGTATTCGTGGGCCACTGAGCACCCATGTCTCTCCCAAGTGCGGCGATGTGTCGCGCCCAATTGCGGCGTTGCGGTCGGGTTCCGAATCGAACACTATTTGGGGTGCGTGCTTATGGAATAAAACATGTGGTTTTCCCCTCAGTTTCTCAATAAAACCACCCCCCAAACTGGATGTAGCCCAAAAACATGTACCAAATTCCAAAATTGCACCCTTGGCAACTGGAACCAAAGACTAAAACCTGCGTAACCCCCCAGCTCTTTCATCTTGAGCCACACCCAAAATGGGTACCACGGGTCTCTTTTTGAGACCCTTCAATTCTGCGGCTATTTTTGTGTTGGGCAACTGCCTCATTGCCAAAGGGAGACTCCGGGTACCCTCCAGCCGGCCTCGTTGAGCTTGAAGGTGACCACAATCCGGTCGTTCAGCGCCGTGGGGTCTGCGATCTGCAGCCTGCGGTGACCGATTCCCACCGCTTGACCGACGCGTGGTCGTAAGGGAAATCCCACAATGGCTGGGGTTTCCAGGTGGCGTGCGAACAGGGTGCTCGGACAAGATGCCCAAAAAGAGAACCCGCCAAGTGGAGAACAAGAACCGGGGGGTGCGATGAAGGCTGTGTCGTGCCAAGGGAGATGCTCAATGCTCATCTGGCTCCTAGACATCCCCAAAACAGATGGTGTTCCTGTTGGCAACATGCACGCACCCATACTATGGCATTGGGCACCAGGCCTATCAACCAGTACTCACAGAATTTCATCCATTCCAACTGGCGCGAAGTGGATTTTGCCCATCCACAGTATGTGGGGAATCACCTACAGTACTTGCTTTCATGGGGAAATCCGAGTGAGTCCAATGCATGCTTTCAGCCCTGGAGGCCATACCAGCTGCTGGATCCTCTCCTCCAAAGAAGTTGACAGGGCCCCTCCATCCCAATCCAAACGTTACATGCTTTAAACAGGGGATCTGTGCAGTTCCATGGGAGTTTCTAAACATATATTGGCTGCTAAGGGGAAATCAAAACGACTCCAACCACCTTAAGGGGTCTGAATGTGGAAGAACAATACCCTCGGTCTGCATGAATTGGCCCCAATCAGCCGAATGAGTATCGCGTTGGTTCTGGAGCCGGCGACTTGGATCGGCAAAAGCCGTTCTTGGTCATTCAGTCTCACTGCTGTCTTCGACCATTGCTTCAAATGACGTCATCCAACACAAAGAACTTGATGGAGACTAGCATCTCTATAGGTCCTCCAGATTTGAGAGGTTAGAATAAGGGTACCACCGTTCTGTGTGGTCTATTTTAGTAGGGGAACCCTCCCCCCAAAAAAGAAACGGTAAAAGGGCACTACTGGGGGAACTAGATATCCCTTTCCGGCCAAGGTTCCACCCTTTCCGGGTCCTATCAGGTCTTAGAGGCCCAAAGAATCCTTAAAAGGCTCACCGCTGCAGCTGGAAGCGACAGCAGGGGAAATGTTGGCGAGGGGCAGGTCGAAGACGGGCGGCGACTCGTCCAAGGTCTGCACCTAAGTCCATCTCTGCAGTGCGCTCTTGGTTTGAAAAAAGGAATCATAAAGGTTGGCGCGAAACATGGCTGGTACAAAACTGGCGCAAAACACAAACATAGCGCAAACCAAAAATCACACACCTGGGTAGGGAAAGAGGTCAAGGAGAACCATTTCGAGCATTCCCGTGTTTTGGGGACAAAACTGGCAGCAACCAGACTGCCCAAGTTTCTTTTGGACACAAGTTCTGGGGCATCGCCCCTGCCCCATGCCCACTTTCATTGGGCAAAAAAAGAATGGGCCGGGCCCACATCGAATATATTTGCACCCACCACGGTTTTGCTCGTTGATGGAAACACCTTCACCAACTCAACCTCCGTGTGAGCCATGGCGATGCAAACCTCCGATTGAACCACAACCTTGGTCTTCATCCATGCCAAGTCTGCGAGCGACTCTGCGCTGGCAAGAGTAGAGCTATCACAAGAAAGAAGTCCAAGGTATCAAACAGAGACATGGATGTTCTACATGGACGGTCTCTAGGTGGTTGGTCTCCTGTCACTTTAGCTTTACCATCCAACACGGGGCTCCCTATTTGAGACACACCCACATCTTGGTACAGTCTCCACATCCTAGGATTGCTCAATTGGTGGTGGTGGATTTGGATCTTCAAGCCAACATGCATGAAGCTACACACAAACAACAAATCATCGTTTGGACAAAAGATAAGCGGAAAAAAGCTGCTAGCCACAGTGCGAGCTCTCAATACTTCTGCCTGTGATATTCCGTCCTGTTGAATTCAACATGGACCCCAACAAGAACACATCCTCTGAGGGCTCTCCGCTTGGTGGACGCCTAAATTGGGTTCCATCATTTTTGGAAGGGAAGCAACGGCAGGAATTGAACCGCCGCTGCACAAATCCACAAGCCCAGCTTGGCTCTCCACCGTTCCGATCTCCTGCTGCATGCTGTAGATGTTGCTGGGACCTCACTCCGACATGACCCCATGCTGCAAACTCCCTATGCTGGAGGCTCCCTAATCGGGGAGGGTGTTCGGCAAGCTTCCAAGGGTTGATTCCCCATTCTTTTCAGCCATCGTTCATTTCAAAAAACAGCCATTTCCCGAGGGCTTTTGGTGGTTTTCTAGAAAGAAGAATCCCTGGAAAAAAATGGGAAAGTCACCCCTAGAAAGCTGTATCTTTCCCGCTGCAAGTCGAAAAGGGAGCCTGAAATAGCAGTCCTTCGAGAATGATGCTTCAAGTTCACATGTAGAGGCCGCCCACGCAACCCTCCCCCCCCCCCCTCCCGCTTCCCTTCGCAAACACACAAAAAAAGTGTCAGTCTTAGTTTTGCGCGTTCCCTCAAAAGATACATCCAGAAACCATCTCCTCTACAAGGATTAGGATCGTCTGAAGCAGCTGAGCGGTGGGTTTTGTTTCCCTTTGACTTTGCATAGATGTCTGCACAATGCAATATGATAGTTATCGGCACTCAGCTGTTGTTTGGGTGATTTGTTTTATCTGGCAACCACATGCTTGGGTGATTTGGCGGGTTGTTGGGTGATTTTTGCCTCTGCGCGCGCCTTTCTCAGGGCGCGCGTGGACTTGGGCTAGCCTGGGAGCCCGGCCCAGCTCCCCGCCGCCGTTGAAGATCATCTTGTTGGCCGGGACCTGGTCGATTCCATGGGTATGCCAGGAATCAAGGGGGCCTCAAAACTCGTGGCTTGCCTCCAAAACCAAAGGTTAAGCTCTAGAAACACACACCCAAACTTTGCCATACGTTCAAAACCAGACTTCAGGGATCTCCAGCACAGCACCGAGGTCAATCATGAGGAACTGTGTAGAAATTATTTCGAGTTTCCAGCGAGCGCCTTGTATCATGGGTGAGCTTGCTTTACCACGCCTGAACATTGCAGAGAAACAGCGAAACTCCCCTCCAAATCATTTTGAGACACTTCTCCTTTTGGGGGGCCCTGCATAAACCGGGCTTTTCTGGCTGGATGTGGTTGGTGCACCTGCCACATTCGCGGAATCATCTGCCATGCAAAAAAGCAAAGCACTGCCGCTAGTCCCTGAGGAAGCTGTCAATTTGCAAATGAAACCCCCGCGGAAACAGCCCGGATGATGAAAACCAATCGGGACTCTGCTGTAGGGTTTCCAACCGACCTATGGCTAAATGTGGCAAGAACCAACCAACCGCTCGAGCGGTTCGGGGAGAGCTGAAACCAACCGCTTGGAGTATTCAAACCCACCAATCAAAAGATTGGCTCCCTGCGAGCAATCTGAGTGCAGCGACAATGTTCCTAGATCATTTTGGTCATGCTCCCTTTGTGGGCTATGTGGTGCTTGGGAACATTGCAATCCAGTTGCTTTCTGGTTGAGCGAGTACAATGGCCACGGTTGCTGGTGTACTTGTCTTGAAGCCAACTACTTGGACCTTACAGCCAAGAACCGGGTGAACGCAGCGGCATGAGCACAACCTCTAAAGCTACATCCAGCGGAGTGCTGCTTGAGGCCCTCCCTCTCTCAGATTTGTGAGACTGAATGTCCCAACCTGTAAGCAGCAAGGCCACTAGATTCCATAGGAGGTGGCATTTTTCCAACACCAGCGCAACAGCCCCGGCAGAAATTGACCCCGCAACCAGTCCGGACAGCTCCTCATCATCCTGGGCGAAGCAGTAGATGAAGGGGTAGTCCGTCTCTTCCTGAGAACTCTTCCTTCCATGACTCACGCTGTGCTCCTTGTTTCGGAGGCACTTCCAGAAAACAGAATGGATGGACGATCAGAAACAACTTATGAGTTGACATGTTTACGGCGCATGCAAAACCAAGTGCTTGTCATATGCAAGCATCAGAGCTTGCCAAGAGCAACAAGGACGCTGATCTGACATGCAAAAATGACCTCCAACTCTCCAAATTGCACATTTGGTCAGCTCCTGGCAAGAAGCAAAGACCAATGATGAGGATGATACTCGATGTGAGCAACAATTCCTTCACACAATACCCATCTCTGCGTGAAATGTGTTTCTGCCTGCCCAACATGGCGAATTGGATTACGTGTGGCTGCGACGAGACCAATGTGACCCAGCCCTGCAATGTGGCGATTGTCGCAATTGCCCTTGGCTGAAGTGGAGCTGAAGTGGTAGTTAAAGGAAACGGCCCATGTCCCGACTCTCTGACATTGAAGACATAGCTAAGCCACCCCAACCCCCCAAAAAAACAAAAAACTGTCAACCACAGGACCTGGAACGAAACAGCCCCACATTGCTCCGAGCTGAAGCTTCTTGCTGCTGATCCTGCCCCAGCTGCGTGGATTGTGGCACCAGCGGTCCAGAGAGGAACATACCCCAAGCCCACTTCGGGGGGGTAGATGGTCCCAGGTCGGAGGAGTGCTCAAAAGCAGCCATGGCTATGGGGAAGGGGGGCTCAGCCGGATGGCTGAGATCCCGCCATTGTTGGCCCCAGGCTTGGGCTGACACAAACAAACTACATGCAGAAATTAAGGGAAGCTGCCTGATCTGGTACAGCAGCAAACATCCACCTAGTGAGGTGAAAACTCAAGAGGAAACCACTAGGAACAGGATTCCCACAAAAAGAATGTGTTGAACATTCGAGGCTGGGTCTTAATATGGAGCACCCAGGGTTACTGTTCACCTGCAAACCAGCCAGTGGGGACATCTACCGATCAGATTTTTGGCTGAGCCCTTTAGCTGAGGCAGGCGCTGTCAGCCCGGATACAATGATGTCCACATCCTGACAGGCTCGGTCGTCGGAAGCCCGAGCAGCCACCAGCCTTTTCAACCCACCCCAACGTGGGGTTGCTGCGCTGAAACGTACATACCCACTTGAGATCTCAACATGGGTTCGACTTGTTGAGACACAGAACGCTGGAAAGGCGGGCGACTTGATGTCCGTTTCGGATTCCACAAGTGACACGAGTCGCTTGCATTGCGGCCAGCCCAACTTCAAATGTATCAGGTCAGGGGATGTGAAAGACACCTAATTTGAGATTGAGAATGAGAAGCAAATTGAAACAGTATGCACAGCAAAGCAGCTTCTTGCAAACATACCCGCAAAACACCAGCACTTGGCGCCGTGGCAGCAGCTTTATTGAAGCGGCGCTAGCTGCATCTTCTGACACAGGGATTGTGCTTCAAGTCCTCCCACAGATCCAGCTGATCAATCATACAGACTTCCACACAGAAGTCGACAATCATCTCCACCAGCATGGGAGGAACAGCACGTCGCAGCTGCTTCATCATGGCCTGCAGAAGCGCCACACCCTTCGTTGCCACCTCGCAGCCCCACGAAGCCTCGAAAGCTGCGCGCGCAGCGGCGAGCGCGGCAGACCTGCGCTCCCCTGCTGCGGCCACGGCGAGTTTCTCCAAGGAAGGCGTCTGGCTGATTGAAGGGCGAAGGCACCAACTTGCGGCACAAAAAGAATCAATGCCATATCTAATGCACGTCACAGCACAATCAGCCTGCCCGCACAGCACTGCGACTTCCAGCAAGTTCAGTGAACATTCTCCGAAAGTCTGCGACAGATTGCAAGCGGAAGCGGGAACCGTGAAGCACCTTAGGGGAAGCCCCAGCGTCTTTCCAACTTGCAGGCGGCGACCAGAGACGCATCGTCGCTGATCATCTGCTGAGATGTGCCTCAGCATTAGGCAGCCCAAACGGTTATTCATCTGCGGCATCCACGCGCTTTTGCCTTCGAAGACAAGTCCGGACAAACCCGGCCATGAGCTTGGCGCTAACAAAGCTAGAGCTTCTCGCAATGGCATATCGTCTCTAACACGCTCTGAGTATCTGAAGCAAAGTGGTTTCAAGTCAACTCCAGCTGAGAGAGCCGCAGTCAGAATGGCGCTGTCTAGCAACTCGATCAGCACGAATTCACCCACTTCCGTGCAATCATCCTGAATCGCGCTAGGGCGCTCGCCTTCGAAAGACCAATCATGGAATTGCTCATCAAAAAGCACGTCATCGGACCTCCAGCGACGCAAGGGCCAAAGCTTTGCATGTCTGGCGCAGCACACGGCTGCTTCCTTGTTGCCGGTAAGGATGGCGATATCCAAGAGACGCGCCATGGCCTCTGCAGATATAGCGAAAGGCACTCGGGAACCGGAGACCTGTGCCGCCAGGATGCGGCGAACCCAGGGCCGCGAAGCTGCCACTTGAGCTGCGTCCACCGCCTCGCAGAGGTTGCAGGTGTTCCAATCCCTCATCCAAATGCCTTGAGACACCGGAAATCCGAAGCAGCAGTACTGACACGTCCGCCATCCTATGCACTGGCAATCCATCTCGTCGTCCCAACCTTCGTCACTATCTGCGAAAGGCCCGAGGTGGTGAAGCTCCAAAGTACAGCCTGGAACGCCTCTTTCTGCCAAAGCCACGGCGGTGTCCAGGTACCCAAATGAGAGGCAAAGATCAAACAAATGCACAGGGCCCCATGCGGAAGGCACCTGCTGACTGAGATCTCGCCCTTCAAGCAACGCTTTTGCAATGTGGAACTCCCTCAGGCCTGTAACACGGGAGGTGCCTGAGTCATAGCAGACCAAACTACTCACATCTAAGGCCATCAAAGCAAAGGAGTTCAGCAAACATTGATCTGCAATGCGGAGCACGGCGGACTCAATCACATTGGCCAACCTCATTTTGCTGGCAAATCTGCATTGACAATCACACATACGCACGGATAATAACAAGTCCACCCGGCTACAACAAATCAAATTCTATCTAGCGGTGTCGCTGATTTCACAAGTCCTATGCTGCCATTCCGAAAGAATAGAACATCGTGCTTGGTCATGGGCGTACTTTAAAGCAACCTCAAGAAAGCCGGTGCTCTTCACAAAAAGGCGCCCCCAAAATTATGAGCAGCTGACTAAACTGATTTGGGGACACCCAAGCTTTCCTTGCAACAAAACCTAAAAAGCCGGTACCCTTAAATGCGAGGGGGATCCCAAAAACTGGTGGTTCTCCTTTAGATTCAATGCCAACGAACTAACCAAAGGGTACAGACCGAACATACACACACACACACATACTGTGGATGGACGAAATCCGTTTCGCACCGCTTTGAAACCGTGGTTGAAGCCATTGCTTGTTGGTATTTACAGGGGAATCATGATTCTTGGGTTTCTTAGGTGGTGCGAAATGGATTTCGCCCATCAGCATGACCAGATGGGCGTCCTGATTGAACTTCCACTTGTAGATGTCGTCGTAGTCCGCCTGACTGGAGACGCCTGGCGTCGCAAGCGCAAGGCCGCAACCGAAACTTCGAGTTGGGTGTTGTTTGGATTCGCAAGCCCCGAGTTGATTTTCTGCCTGGAGTCTCCATGCCCCCTAGAAAAAGGGGTCATTACCCCTTAATTTTGGGCAATGACCCCATTTTTTAAGGGCCATGGAGACTCTAGGTATATAATACAGGATGGCAAACCCCGCTTCGCACCAGTTAGGATGGAGGACGACCCCCCCCCCCGTTGACACCCAACAAAAAAAAAAAAAAACAAATTCTCCATACGCCAAGCTCCCACACCTTGCCCCCCGATGAGGCTCGCACCGTCGGCATCAGCATCATCGATGTCATCGAGATCATAAACCCAGAACCTCGAAGCGAACTGCAAGCTGGTCAATGATTGAACCCAGGATTGACCCTCTCAAGAAGGGCTTCAAAAGAAGACATTCCCATTTTGAGCGACCCCTCAGTTGCCAGGTTGGCAACCTCAAACACGAAGAAGCTACACCTTGAAACCACTGAACGGCATTTCTGAACGGACACCTTTACATGCAGAGACAAAGCCAGGTAAAGAAAGACAAACAATTGAAACTTGAGTGAAGACAAAACAGCCATGCAGAACACAAGGCAATTGATCACAACCCAAGACTGTTTCAACCTGGCCTCCTTGGTGGGGGCATGGGGGTGTCCAAAACACAAGGCCCAACAACTGGTACCTGCATCCTTCTTTCCCGTGAAGTACGCTCCAACCATTCGGTCCCCCAATTCTGACACCCGGGCGAACTAGGCTTCCACACGTGCCGCATTGATTGCCTGCCACTGACACGGTAACAGGAAGGGGGAGCCCCAAAATGGATGGCTTCCTTTTGGCTGCCCTTTTCGACAACCCAAGAATGGTACCGTCAAAACAAGACACATCCGCGCGAGCAGCTTGTTGATTCAGCTCATGCAGGTGCTTGCCTGCAATTCGAAGGCCGAACCGCCCCAAACTCCACGGGCGTGGGAAATCGCCCCAAACAAGCAGCTCCTACGCAGAAGCCGTTACTCCGCTGATCTGCGCAAACTACTATCATTCACAAAGATCCACAATGAGGAACCCCCAGTGCAGAACGTGTGCAAAATCGGCCGCAAAACAAAGCGTCCGCGAGGTTTATCACTTTCATCTCAGGCTGATCCCCTTCAAATATGTTGGTTTAGCTTTGTGAGATTGCCAGCATTGATTTTCAGGGCTGATCAAGAAGAACGATTCCCAGTTTTGCAAACCGGTGCCTTTTAAATGCTTCCTTTCGATGGTCACAAAAGGGTCGTTAAAACAACAAAACTGTCGACTGGTGCGCAATGTTCCTTTCGCTGTGCAAGCTGAAGATGTTGGGTCCCATTTACCCACAAGATCCTTGGGGCTTCAAATCCAAATCCTGTTTCCCCTCCCCCCTCCCCCCCCCTCGCCTCCCCCCCCTCCCAGGTTTGGACCGGGTGACCCCCGGCCATTGCATCAACGACTGAGTCGCCTCGGCCGTCCGCGCAGCTGCTCTGCAGGCTCTTGATCTTCGTCTCCGCGTCCAGGGAGTCCGCCATCACCGGGTCCGCGCCTCGGCTGAAACGGTTCGGCTCTTCGAACAAAACGCTTCACGAGGAAATTGAAATTGGGTCGAGATTTAATTTGGGATTTTTTTTGTTTTATTTTGGGATTTTTTTTTGTTTTCCGTCCTGGCTACTAAAATGCTGTAATTTACAGCATTTTCTCGCGAAATGTACGTATTTTACGCTAGTCCGTCAACATCATCAGCATCGTTTTCAACATCCCCCGCATGTCCAGCCAACATCGCCAGCATCACCAGCAAATTGGCTTCCCGCATCTCATGGTAAAAGTGAGGATTCAATTAAAGGCGCAGGGGGTTGGGGGGGGCGGCAGCCTTTTTGGGGGGGGGGGCGGCAGCCCCCCCATGATGCCCCCCCCCATGATGATTGAAAAAGTAATGATTCAATTGGAGGCGCGGGGGTGTTGGGGCGGGCGGCAGCCCCCCCATGATGATCGAAAAAGTGATGATTCAATCAGGGGCAAAAAGTCAAAAATAGCGGGGGGGTTGGGGGGGGCGGCAGCCCCCCCATGATGATCGAACAATTAGGGGCAAAGAATCTAAAAAGTAGCGGTCGCATGATGATCGAAAAAGTGATGATTCAAATAGGGGCAAAAAGTCCAAAAAATAGCGGGGGGGTTGGCGGCAGCCCCCCCCACGATGATTGAAAAAGTGATGATTCAATTAGGGCAAACCAAATATAAAAAAAAGCAGCGGGGGTGGCATCAGTGCCTCTGCGCCGAGGCCTCATGGTACAAGTGAGGGTTCAAATACGGGCAAACTAATCCCTGCAGATCGAAAAAGTGATGATTCCATCAGGGGCAAAAAGTCCAAAAAATAGCGGGGGGGTTGGGGGGGGCGGCAGCCCCCCCCACGATGATCGAAAAAGTGATGATTCAATTAGGGCCAAAAAAATATTTAAAAAAAAAGCAGCGGGGGGGGCATCAGTGCCTCTGCGCCAAGCCCTCATGGTACAAGTGAGGGTTCAAATACGGGCAAACTAATCCCTGCAGATCGAAAAAGTGATGATTCAATCAGGGGCAAAAGTCTAAAAAATAGCGGGGGGTTGGGGGGGGGCTGCCGCCGCCCCCCCCATGATGATCGAACAATTAGGGGCAAAGAATCCAAAAAGTAGCGGTCGCATGATGATCGAAAAAGTGATGATTCAAATAGGGGCAAAAAGTCCAAAAAATAGCAAAGGGGTTGGGGGGGCGGCAGCCCCCCCCACGATGATTATAAAAAAGCAGCGGGGGGTCATCAGTTCCTCTGCGGCAAGGCCTCATGGTACAAGTGAGGATTCAAATACGGGCAAACTAATCCCTGTAAAACACGTAAAACGTAGTTAGGGCCAAATATATATACCTAGGACCTCCAGGTTGCAAAAAAAACGCCGCTTTGCAAAACAGCAAAGATTTCCGCCGCTTCCCAAAAAAAGCATCGTTTTCCCGAAAAAACGCTGTTTGGCTTGACAGCGGCTTCGTCAAGGGGGGGGTGACAAGATGCAACTCCAGCAGCACTCGTCCTCGGGCGGCCTCGCCGCATTTTGCTTGCAAGATCAAGCATTTGGCACAAGTCGATTTCTTTTGGGGACCTGTGACACAGTGGCTGGCTTCACAAGGCAAGCGGGGCACTTCTTGCTTGCTCTATGATTGGAACAAGAACTCAACAAGGTTGCGATTACAAGTGCTAAGTGGCAGGCATCTTGAACATGACTTGTTACTTGCCTGGATGCGATCAATGAACAACCAACTGCTTGTAGTCTCCACGCCCTTGGAAAGCCAGCGCTTGGTACGGGCGCATCACGAGATCCAGGCGGGGGCACTCAGTCTACCAGGTTTTGCCGGAAACGCTTTAACAGCAGCGATGCTTTCACCAGAAAACGTTCAAGAACGTGGTTTTCCATGTACCGGGTGTCAACCTCTCTTGACAATTTGCAAATCTTCCCAATCAGGTCCTCGTTCTGTTCGCAGCCCCAAAGCATTGGTGAGCTGATGAAATTGTTCCCTGCCTCAAGTTCAGTCACAACATCATGATCGATATGTTTGCAAAAGTGAATTTTTGGCTTCATAGCCCAGCCACAGAAGCCAGAGCCGAGCATTTGAGAAGCCAGCCAAGCATAACCACTGAGGAAGCTGGAAATTTGTTCATGGAGAAGCGTGGCGCATCGACGCTGCAAAAACGCCCCATGCTTGTACTGCAAAGCAAAAAGCTCAATACCGCAAGTTGCTGTTCTGCGCATAACATCCAGGATGGGGCCATGCCAAGACGGCCTAACCAGACGCTCTTTACAACCGGCCATTGTTTACTCGACCAGCCACTCTTTACCGTTGAACCGGCCATTGTTTACTTAACCGAAAACGTTTGCGAGATCTGAATCCGCTTTGAGCCATTTGTTTCGCAAACATGTTTCTGTTGACGGTGTGGGGCCTGAGTCCCTGCTTTTTCAGGCAAGCGATGCTTGCGCAGGCAGCGCTCTTGATGTTTCAGTCGGCTTGCTGCAGCGCCAAGTGCGCGCATGTGGCAAGCTTTGACAAGATTTGCAACCACTTCAAGGCCTGATTGTTGCAAACGCATTTGCTGTTGTATATGCAAGCGGCGGGCAACACTTATAAACTTTGCGTTGCCGAGACGGAGGGTTGCTACCACGGCGTTGCCACCCCCGTTTCTTCCGAACACACCAAACTTTGGACTGGCGTTCCCTTTCAACACTCCTGAATAACATGGGTGTTTCTAAGTTACCCTTGAGCGCCGGCAAGTTTTCTAGTGACCCTTGTGTTTTGAACTGTGATTCGGCTATTCCTTTGCACTTATGACTTCGGCTATTGAATTGATTGCGCATTTTGGCCTGAAACTGCGTAAGCCTTGCTGTAAAGGGCGCCCGTCCAGCCCGAGCGCTTGAGAAAGGGAGGGGCGCCACTTCTACAAAACACTGTCGCAAAGTAAGCTTTCCCCAAGGGCGCACGAATATCCAAGCTGGTCCAGACCCAGTTCTGGCTTATTATTAAGGAGGCGGCAAGCAGAAAGAGAAGATGCAAACACACCCGCAACCAAACAAACAGACAGACGCACAAACTACCCAACACACAAAGAACCTTACCAAACCATCAAAGAAACACATCCAACGCGTGCGCAAACACACAAACACACAAAAGCGCGCCCGCGCAATAGATAGGCAAAAGATGCTCCAATGCGCCGGTTGGTTCAGAGTGTTTTGCCAGAAGGCACAAACTGTACTTACAAAGTTCAGAAGCTTGGGCGAAAGCACCTGTTTCTGGTTGGCTTGGAATTTGCTTCTGCCACCGGGGCGTCCTCTCTCGGAGATCTAGCCCGCGTTAACAGTAGACCCTCTCCACGCTCCAGCGGTTGGTTTGTTCCCCTGCGGCCAGGGTGACAAACTGAACCTGTCCGTGGGCAAGGCTCTGAGTGGCCGGGGCTTTGCTTGCGGCAGACGGTTACTGGCATTGAGTGTTCTGATTTTTGACCTTTTGCTTTGCCTCACCTGTTCGAAGCAATTCAGCAACTGGCCTTTCAAGTAGCTTGGATTGTCAGATTGTTGTGTCGTCGGCCCCCCACTGCCGCCCGCGCGGTCTAGTTTCCAAGCGGACGGCGCTTTCAATTTTGCGGCTTCATTTGCAAGAGAGGGGGGGCGCCGCCAGGCAAAATGAATATGAAACTGCGCCCTGTCCAAAGGCAAGGCTCCAGTTTTTGGACATCATAGATGCTTCTTCTGCCGGTTGGCGGGAGAGCAGGGAAATACTATTGCAAAACAGGTGGCAGTTGTTGAATAGCTTCGACATTGGTCTGCTCAGCAAAAATTGCAAGAAGACAAAAGAGCAATCCCAAAGCCCGGGCATTGCAAAGCTCGAGTCAATCTCTTTGTCGCACTGCCCTGCAAGCAAAACCCACTCAATCCTGATCAAATCAAATTTACACCACGGATTGGTCAGAAGTGGTCAGGTGATCAGATTTGATCAGGTGTGACCAGGTTTCATTTTGGTTGGCTGGGGCCTGACCAGCAAACAGTTCGTTCGTTGCACCAACGAACTTGCTACACTCGAAATTGAACCTTGAAGCTTAAACAACTAGGTATTGTTCACTTTGCTTGCGGTTGCCTTGCAAGGAACAACCAGCCAATCCAAAACTCAAGCGTTGGTTGAAGTGGCGTAGAGGCCTGGAGCTGCTTTTCCAAATCCAAACCGCTAAAGGACTAGAGACCTGTGTAGGGCGCCGAAGCCAAAACCAAACAATGGCAACTTGCAACTGGACAGGGTGTAGCGCGTGGCCTTCCCAACTACCCTGCCATGGCTGGAACACAAATGCCAATTCTTGCTCAACCCGCCCAGCCGTTCAAAAACTGGCAGCTTGCCAACAAACAATTTCTAGTCTTTAAGCGGCTTGGGTTTTCAAATTGTCTTTAAACGGCTTGTTTTTCATAAAAAAAATCCTCCTGCCTGGGAGCGTACGTACGGGCAAAAGCGAAGCTCAAGCCATTCAAGAAAACTGGAGCCTTGCAAACGCGCAGGGTTGTTATTCCAAGTCGCCTGGGTCTTGTTTTGCATTTACTGCTTGAGATGGCAGTCGGCGCTTGGCTGCTAGACAAGTTCTTGTGCTTTAGGAAGGGAACTGTTTTGATTTTTGCACGCCTGCCCCAACATGCATTTGTCTCCCCCCCCCTTGTTCAACATTTCAAAACCTGGCGCCTTGCCACGAGACAAGAATCATGCTTGAATGGCCCTCGGGTAGAAATGAACTCCCAACCGTGACAGGGCCTAGCATTTGAGTAGCCTGGGTGTTTCATTGGTTTGTTTGGGGCACCACTTTCCAGACAGAATTTCCTATGCCACTCGACGACTAAAAGGGCCCATGACAAAAGCAAACTTTCAAAAAGGACTCTTTGTCTAAAGGATTGAGTGTGTGTTGGTGAGAATCAGAAACACGCAGTACTTGGGAGAAAGGGGGCTTGTAGCACCTAATGCTGGCATTGACAAGAAACGCTATCAGAGCGCCTGCGC